TGGCTCATGCCTGTAATCCCAGCACTTTGAGAGGTGGACGCAGATGGATCACCTGAGGTCGGGAGTTCGAGACCAGCCTGACGAACATCAAACCCCCGTCTCTACTAAAAACAGAAAATTAGCTGGACGTGGTGGCGCGTGCCTGTAGTCCCAGCTACTCTGGAGGCTGAAGCAGGAGAATCTCTTGAACCCAGGAGGCGGAGGTTGCGGTGAACCGAGATCGCGCCATTGCACTCCAGCCTGGGCAACAAGGGCAAAACTCCGTCTCAAAAGCAAAAAAAGAAAAAAGAGAAAGATCAAGTCTTGGGTTTTAACTATGTTTTCTCCATCACGCATTTGGGAGAAGAGCAAGATGCCCCAAAGCTTGTTTTTGTTTTCGGATCTTCTGTCTCGGTAGTCTCTTCTTACTGCTTTGGAACACAGAAGAGTCAACGAGACGACCAGTTCTGACGGAGTAAAGCAATTACAATCTCAGGTGCTTCTTTGAGAGTGATTTTCACAGGATGTGGCCATGATTTTTCAAGGCTTGGGACTCTTACAAGACCCTTTTGTTCAATGACAGTTTTCTATGCATGAATTTATTTCAACAGAGAAGAGAACAATTTAGCAACCGTCATGAATATTCATGTAATTCTCCATATTGTACCAGAAAACAAGATTGATATTCTTGGGAATCTTCTCAATTCAACACTTTATCAAATCTGATTCCTTAAATTAGGGTTGTGACTCAGAAAAAATCTTCCTCCTTATGCAGTATCAGGAAAAAGAGGACATCTCCTGTATCTCTATTTAACATCTCTTTTGCTAACGGTGAAGATGTATATTTTAAAACTAGGCACTGGAATTTTGTCAGTCAACAGAAACGTCCTGGTAAAGTTCCATTCCAGTTAGAAATGAAGGAAGGACTGAGCTGGACTCCGTCTCAAAAAAAAAAAAAAAAAAAAGAAAGAAAAAAGAAATGAAGGAATAAATAGGATTTTTTTTTTTTTTTTTTTTGAGACCCTGATTCAAAAAATAAAGAATAGCTGGGTCGGGCGCGGTGGCTCAGGCCTATAATCCCAGCACTTTGGGAGGCCGAGGCGGGTGGATCACGAGGTCAAGAGATCGAGACCATCCTGGTCAACAAGGTGAAACCCCGTCTCTACTAAAAATACAAAAAATTAGCTGGGCATGGTGGCGCGTGCCTGTAGTCCCAGCTACTCGGGAGGCTGAGGCAGGAGAATTGCCTGAACCCAGGAGGCGGAGGTTGCCGTGAGCCGAGATCGCGCCATTGCACTCCAGTCTGGGTAACGAGAGTGAAACTCTGTCTCAAAAAAAAAAAAAAACCAGTCATCATTATTTAGTTCTGTCTTTGGTTTAGGTTATCTGTTACTGTGTAACAAAGCACCCCAAAACTGAGTGACTTAGAGTAACAATCTTGTTTTTGTTTTTGTTTTGTTTTGTTTTGAGACGGAGTTTCGCTCTTGTTACCCAGGCTGGAGTGCAATGGCGCGATCTCAGCTCACCACAACCTCCGCCTCCTGGGTTCAGGCAATTCTCCTGCCTCAGCCTCCCGAGTAGCTGGGACTACAGGCACACGCCACCATGCCCAGCTAATTTTTGTATTTTTAGTAGAGATGGGGTTTCACCATGTTGACCAGGATGGTCTCGATCTCTTGACCTCGTGATCCACCTGCCTCGGCCTCCCAAAGTGCTGGGATTACAGGCGTGAGCCACCGCGCCCGGCCCCAAAGGACAGATTTATGGAACCAGAGAATGGAACGCTGGTCGCTGTAATAAATATCCATAGATCTCCATACTACAGAAGATATAAAACACATTTAGAGTCTTTTGAATATTCTCAGTTTATGACCTTATCAAACCACATTCTGTTTTTGTTTTTGTTTTTAGGCAGGGTCTCACCCAGGCTGGAGTGCAGTGGTGTGATCTCAACTCACTGCAGTCTCTGCCTCCTGGGTTCAAGTGATTCTCCTGCCCCAGCCCCGGCAAGTACCTGGAATTACAGGCTCATAATTCCGCCTGGCTAGTTTTTGTACTTTGAGTAGAGATGGATTTTCACCACGTTAGCCAGGCTGGTCTCAAACTCCTGACCTCAAGTTATCCACCTGCCTCAGCCTCCCAAGGTTCCGGGAATAACAAAAGACACCCTTCTCACGAGGATTTTTGGAATTTCCAGAGTGACGGGGTGAGAAGGGGGTCTTTGGAACCAGAGCTGAAGACCAAACACGTATTTCTCACTATATCACAATATCGCAGGAGGTGAAAGGGAGATGGCCTCGAAGCAGCTCCTCCACACCCCCTAATCCTGATCGGAAGAGTCCTGCCAAGACTCAGCCTAGCTGTGGTTCAAGCCTCTGATTGCGGGGATGGTTAAGTACCAGATTTCCAGAGTCTTTTGAATATTCTCAGTTTATGACCAGCGCAGCGCTGCCCCCTTGTGGTGGCACTAACTTTGCACAGCTATTTAAAATAAGCAGTGGACACACCATCTTCAGAGGGGTCCTGTTCAGATTGAACATCCATATTTTCCCCAAGAGAGAAGAAAAATCATTAAACTTTTTTTTTTTGAGATGGAGGTTTGCTCTTGTAACCCAGGCTGGAGCCCAGAGCTGCGATCTCGGCTCACTGCAACGTCCGCCTCCCAGGTTCAAGTGATTCTCCTGCCTCAGTCTCCCGAGTAGCTGGGATTACAGGCATGCACCACCACACCAAGCGAATTTTTTCATTCTTAGTAGAGATGGGATTTCACTATATCGGCCAGGCTGGTCTCAAACTCCTGACCTTGTGATCCACCCACCTTGGCATCCCAAAGTGCTGAGATCACAGGCGTGAGCCACAGTGCCCGGCATCACACATTTTTATTCGTTTTTCTTTCTGTATTCTTTGTCATTTGTGGTTCGTAAAACCCACTTCCTGCACAAATTATTTAACACTGAATGCATGCTGAGGAAGGCCAGGCATAAAAAAGGATGTTTACTCAAGACTTTTCCAGAAAACTGGTAAACTCTACTCTCCATGAGGGCCAGGACTGTATCTCTTTAATTCTCCTCTCAACTGGCCGAGTGTGGTGGCTCATGCCTGTAATCCCAGCACTTTGGGAGGCTAAGGCAGAGGGATCACCTGAGGTCAGGAGTTCAAGACCAGCCTGGCAAACGTGGTGAACCCCCATCTCCACTAAAGATACAAAACATTAGCTGAGTGTGGTGGCATGCACCTATAGTTCCAAATACTCGGGAAGCTGGGGCAGGAGAATTGCTTAAATCCGGGAGGCGCAGGTTGCAGTGAGCCGAGGTTGCACCACTGTACACCAGCCTGGGTGACAGAGCAAGACTCTATCTCAAAAATAAAAATAGGGTTGAGTGCGGTGGCTCACGCCTGTAATCCCAGCACTTTGGGAGGCTGAGGCAGGCGGATCACTTGAGGTCAGGAGTTGGAGACCTGCCTGGCCAACATAACAAAACCCCATCTCTAATAAAAATACAAAAAATTAGCCAGGTGTGGTGGCGAATGCCTATAGTCCCAGCTACTTGGGAGGCTGAGATGGAGAATCCTGGAACCCGAGAGGCAGAGATTGCAGTGAGCTGAGATCATACTATTGCACTCCAGCCTGGGCAACAAGAGCGAAACTCCATCTCGAAAAAAAAAAAGAGGAGGGGTTGGGGTCAGAGGACTTAAAGCCTCTGATCTAAGGTTTCCTCATGTTTCTTCATGTGCTGGGGACAAGTTGCCTCATTTATTTCTCTCGAGGACTGACAAGGTAGGTATTTTTGGATTTCCCTTTCTCAGATGAAAACCCAGAAGGGCCTGCAGACTGCTCCAGTTTGCCCAGCATGGCACAGCTGGGCTGTCCAAGCACTAGAAGTCACTCTCTTCTCCATAAAGTGGGAAAAGCGGAAGGAGAAGTTGAAAAACAACAAAAGTAGAAGAACGTGTGTGCTCTGCCAAAATTAGGGCACAAGTCGAGAAAGGGGGAAGGAGCCTGTGTGGGTGGCTCACGCCTGTGATCCCCACACTTCAGGAGGCCGAGGCAGGAGGATCACCTAACCTCGGGAGTTGGAAATCAGCCTGGGCAACATAGAGAGACCTTGTTTCTACAAAAAAAAAAAAGTAAAAACAAACCAGCCAGGTATGGTAGCCTGCACCTGTGGTTCCTGCTACTTGGGAGGCTGAGGTGGGGAGATCACTTCAGCTGGGAGGTCGATGTGGCAGTGAGCCTTGATCATGCCAGGGCAGTCTAGCCTGGGCAAGAGAGTAAGGCTCATCTCAAAAAAGAAAAGAAAAGAAGAGAAAGGGAGGGAGGGGTACGGTGGCTCATGGCTGTAATCCCAGAACTTTGGGAGGCCAAGACGGGTGGATCACTTGAGGTCAGGAGTTCAAGACAACCCTGGTCAACATGGCAAAATTCCATCTCTACTAAAAATACAAAAATTAGCTGGGCATGGTGGCACACACCTGTAATCCCAGCTACTCAGGAGGCTGAGGCATGAGAATCACTTGAACCCAGGAGGCAGAGGTTGCAGTGAGCCAAGATTGAACCACTGCACTCCAGCCTGGGCGACAGAGTGAGACTTTCAAAAAAAAAATTGTGTTTGATTATGCTTAATTTAAAAAAAGGTGAGACCTTCCTTTCGCTGAGTCTGGTAGAAATCGGTGTTATAGGATAGCTAACATTCACTGAGAATTTACTGCAAGCCAGTTACTGTTTTAAGTGTTGGATGTGTGTTACCCACTGAATCCTACAACAATTCTATGAAGTAGGTTTTATCAGTGCGTCCATATTACCGTCAAGGCAAGAGAGAGTTGGGGAAGGGCACTTTCCGAATGCTCCACAGAGTAGATGGCAGGCTGGGATTCGAACCCCAGTCTCCTGGCTCGGAAGCCTTAACCACTCAGCTGCTCCTTGGGAAAGGCCCAGAGAGAAGCCACAGTGCAGGGCCTCGCGGCTGCGGGAAAGTGCGGATCTGTCCCCCGAGGGATGAAATGAGACACAGGTAGGCAGTGTAAGAGCAGCCCCAAGAAGCAGGAGCCGCTTGCTTTTATTGAGTGCCTGGAGCAAACGCAATGTGCGGGTGATTAGCATTTATTGTTCCCCTTTCAGGGACTTCACAGGGGGGGTCGGGGGGTGGGAAAGGTCAGTTTCTGGACAAGTTGAAACAAAGGAGCCTGGTGGAGATAAATTCCCCTTGCTCACTTGCACAGACTCCTGGCCCTCTGCCTCAGGGTGACAGCACAGCTGCCTTCCCACCTTCTGAAGGCCTGATCTCCCCCGACGATGACCCATCTCCCACAGGAAAGGACAGTCCAGCCCAGGGTCCCAGCTTCTCTGCCACTCAGGTTGGAAGTCTTCTGGGGTTGCAGCGCCCCTGGGGCTCAGGGGCGGACGCCAGCAGGAGCGTGGTTCTGGCTGCGACAGTCAAAAGCGACCAGCGCGCCCAGGGAGATGAGGACCAGACTGGCCAGTCCCAGGCGGACCAGGTTCTCCCTGGTGTAGTCGGAGGAGCTGGAGTCTGCGGGCCGAGCCGGGAGAGAGGGGCTGTCATCGCTTGGACCCAGAAGTCTAGGCCCTGAACTCCAGGTCTCCTGTCCCTGGGGTGGACTTAGGGGCCTGACTCCCCAGTCTGAAAGTTGAGGGGAGTTATGGAGGCTTCACTTCGTGGGTCTGAGGGAGGAGGGACTGGGTGGAAGTCTGGACTCCTGGTTCTGAGGGAGGAGGACTGGGGCCTGGACTCCTGGGTCCGAGGGAGGAGGGGCTGGGGTCCTGGACTCCTGGGTCTGAGGGAGGAGGGGCTGGGGTCTGGACTCCTGGGTCCGAGGGGGGAGGGGCTGGGGTCTGGACTCCTGGGTCCGAGGCGGGAGGGGCTGGGGTCCTCGACTCCTGGGTCCGAGGGAGGAGGGCTGGGGTCCTGGACTCCTGGGTCTGAGGGAGGAGAGGCTGGGGCCTGGACTCCTGGGTCCGAGGGAGGAGGGACTGGGGTCCTGGACTCCTGGGTCCGAGGGAGGAGGGGCTGGGACCTGGACTCCTGGGTCCGAGGGAGGAGGGGCTGGGGTCCTGGACTCCTGGGTCCGAGGAAGGAGGGCTGGGGCCTGGACTGCTGGGTCCGAGGGAGGAGGGCTGGGGCCTGGACTGCTGGGTCCGAGGGAGGAGGGGCTGGGGTCCTGGACTCCTGGGTCCGAGGGAGGAGGGGCTGGGGTCCTGGACTCCTGGGTCCGAGGGAGGAGGGACTGGGGCCTGGACTCCTAGGTCGGAGGGAGGAGGACTGGGGCCTGCATTTCTGGGTCCGAGGGAGGAGGGACTGGGGCCTGGACTCCTGGGTCCGAGGGAGGAGGGACTGGGGCCTGGACTCCTGGGTCCGAGGGAGGAGGGACTGGGGCCTGGACTCCTGGGTCCGAGGGAGGAGGGACTGGGGCCTGGACTGCTGGGTCTGAGGGAGGAGGACTGGGGCCTGGACTGCTGGGTCCGAGGGGGGAGGACTGGGGCCTGGACTGCTGGGTCCGAGGGAGGAGGGCTGAGGCCTGGACTCCTGGGTCTGAGGGAGGAGGGGCTGGGGCCTGGACCCCTGGGTCCGAGGGGGGAGGGGCTGGGGCCTGGATTCCTGGGTCTGAGGGAGGAGGGCTGGGGCCTGGACTCCTGGGTCCGAGGGAGAAGGGCTGGGGCCTGGACCCCTGGGTCCGAGGGAGGAGGGCTGGGGCCTGGACTCCTGGGTCCGAGGGAGGCGGCGGGCCGCAGGGCCTCACCTTCGGAGCGGACGGCCAGCACCGGGCTGCGCGGGGACAGCACGTAGGGCGCGGAGGGCGTGTGGTAGTAGCAGCTGTAGGTGCCGGGGGCGCGGGCGCCCAGCAGCGGGAAGTCGGCCCAGGGCTGCGCGGAGTCGCGATACTGCAGCGGGGCCGCCACGCCCACGCGGTACAGCACGAAGCTCATGTTCCGCAGGCCGCCCGCGCAGCGCAGGGTCACACGGCCGCCGGGGGCCACCACCGACCCGGGCAGCGCCACCAGCGACGGGCGCGGCAGCTCCTCTGCGGGCGGGAGGCGGGAGGCGGACCGCGTGGGCGCCTTTCCAGGAGCGCGCTCTGCCTGTGTCTCTCTTCTCTCTTTCCTCTGTCTCTCTCTCGTTCTGCCTCTGTCTCTTTCTCGCTCCCTCTGTCTCTGTCTCTGTCTCTCTCTTTCTCTTTTTTTTTTAGCCAGAGTCTCACTCTGTCGCCCAGGCTGGAGTGCAATGGCGCGATCTCGGCTCACCGCAACCTCTCCCTCCCGGGTTCAAGCAATTCTCCTGCCTCAGCCTCCCGAGTAGCTGGGATCACAGGCTCGAACCACAGCGCCCAGCTAATTTTTTCGTATTTTTAATAGAGTCGGGGTTTCACCGTGTTAGCCAGGATGGTCTCGAACTTCTGACCTTGTGATCCACCAGGCTGGAGTGCAATGGCGCAATCTCGGCTCACCGCAACCTCCGCCTCCCGGGTTCAAGTGATTCTGCTGCCTCAGCCTCCCGAGTAGCTTTCTCTCTCTCTCTCTTTCTCTCTGCTTCTCTCTCTTTCCCCCCTCTCTCTCCCCTCCATCTCCCCCCTTCCCGTCCCTCCCTCCCTCTCTGTCCCCGCGACTCCCCCCGCCCCGCACTGTATCTTTCTCTCCTGTCTGTGAAACTATCAGTTTGCTCGCTTCACTCTGTCTCTCTTTCCCTGTATCTCTCTGTCCTTCCCCCGCCTCCCTTGTTCCACCCGCTTCTCCTGCACAACCCCAGGACCTCACCTGTCACCAGCAGCTCCAGGGCATCGCTGGGCTGGGACCAGACACCCGGCCCCCAGTCTGGCTTCCCATAGCAGCAGTGGTAACTTCCCCCTTGGGCTGGAGTCACCTCCTCCAGGAAGAACTCCGCCAGCTCCGAGGACACGTCTCGGAGGAGAAGGGGATCGGTCTCTCCAGACTTGAAAAGTGCAAATCTCCAGGCGGGTTGGGGTGCCCGGCACCTCAAGGTCACATTGACCCCGGGGGTCACAACCGAAGCTGGCCGAGCTCCCAGCCATGGCCTGGGGTATGAAGCTGGGGGAACTGAATAAACGGGGCTGCCTGGGTCCTCGGACCTCCTGGGAGCCCCAGAAGATGGAAGGGAAGTTGGGGAAAGAGGAAAATCACCCTGGACGGTTACTACCCCTTTCTCAGCCTCAGTTCCCTGTTGGTGAAATCGGGGAGACTGGACAACAGTCAAGGCTTGTTAAGAGCAGGTGGATCACAAGGTCAAGAGATCGAGACCATCCTAGCCAACGTGGTAAAATCCCATCTCTACTAAAAAAATACACTCAAGCCTGTAATCCCAGCACTTTGGGAGGCCGAGGCGGGTGGATCACGAGGTCAAGAGATCGAGACCATCCTGGTCGACATGGTGAAACCCCGTCTCTACTAAAAATACAAAAAATTAGCTGGGCATGGTGGCGCGTGCCTGTAATCCCAGCTACTCAGGAGGCTGAGGCAGGAGAATTGCCTGAACCCAGGAGGCGGAGGTTGCGGTAAGCCGAAATTGCGCCATTGCACTCCAGCCTGGGTAACAAGAGTGGAACTCTGTCTCAAAAAAAAATAAAATAAAAATAAAAAAATACAAAAATACAAAAATTAGCTGGGCGTAGTGGCGTGCGTCTGTAAGTCCCAGCTACTCGGGAGGCTGAGGCAGGAGAATCGCTTCAACCTGGGAGGCAGAGGTTGCAGTGAGCTGAGATCGCGCCACTGCACTCCAGCCTGGTGACAGAGCAAGACTCTGTCTCAAAAAAAAAAAAAAAAAAAAACAACCAGGTGCACATCTGGGGCAGGACAGAAACTTCACAGCTTCACTCCACAGTTTGTAAACATAGTTTCAAAGTGTCAGGTCTCAGAAGTCTGTCATTTTATTCTTATTAAAGTAATGAGATGGGGGGCCTACCTACGTTGGCCAGGTTGGTCTTCAACTACTGGCCTCAAGCAGTCCTCCCACCTTGGCTTCTCAGAGTGCTAAGATTACAACCTGGTGCCGCTGCGCCCGGACTATTGTTTTTTTAATTTATTATTATTATTTTTTTGAGACAGAGTGTTGCTCTGTTGCTCAGGCAGGAGTGCAGTGGTGTGTTCTCAGCTCACTGCAGCCTCAACCTCCTGAGTTCAAACAATCCTCTGCCTCAGCCTCCTGAGTTCCTGGGACCACAGGCGCACGGTGCTACACCAGGCTGTTTTTTTTGTTACTATCAGTAGTAGGGACAAGCATTTGCTATGTTGCCCGGACTAGTCTCGAACCCCTGGGCTCAAGCGATCCTCCCACCTTGGCCTCCCAAAGTGCTGAGCTTACAGATGTGAGCCACCACACCCAGCCAGAACTCCAATTTTAAATAGCTTTCCAGAATATATGCTATATAATATTTCAAGAGCGGCCAAAATGCCGGGCGCGGTGGCTCACGCCTGTAATCCCAGCACTTTGGGAGGCCAAGGCAGGGAGGCTCACGAGCTCAAGAGATCAACACCATCCTGGCCAACATGGTGAAACCCCGTCTCTACTAAAAATGAAAAATTAGCTGGGTGTGGTGGCATGCACCTGTAGTCCCAGCTACTCGGGAGGCTGAGGCAGGAGAATCACTTGAACTCGGGAGGTGGAGGTTGCAGTGAGCTGAGATCATGCCACTGCACTCCAGCCTGGGCAACAGAGTGAGACTCTGTCTGGAAAAAAAAAAATTGCCAAAACTTGTTATCTATTAGGGAGGAAAAAAATATTGGTTCCCTACCTCACACCATTCCCCTAAACAACTTCCAGATTAATTAAAGACCTACCTGTGTTTCATTTTTTTAATTATCAGAGTATTCAAAAAACTATAGGAAAATTTCTTTGTCTTGGGGTAGGGAGGGCTTCGTAAAATATAAAATAAAAAGTTCTATGGAGGATTAATTTGACCGCTTCAGATTTCTTAAGTTGTGTATGCTAAAAGACAAAACTAGAGGACAAATGACAGTACTGGCAGACATCACTTATCCACAAATCACACAAATTAAGAGTGTAGGAAGGCTGCGGCGCTCAGTGCTCACACCTGCAATCCCAGCACTTTGGGAGGCCGAGATGGGTGGATCACCTGAGGTCAGGAGTTCGAGACCACCCTGGCCGACATGGTGAAATCCTATCTCTACCAAAAATGCAAAACTTCGCCAGTTGTGGTGGTGCTAGCCTGTAGTCCCACCTGGTTCAGAAGCTGAGCAGGAGAACTGCTTGAACCCAGGAGGCGGAGGTTTCGTGAGCACACCACTGCTCTCCAACCTGGGCAACAGTGAGACTCCACCCACCGAAAAAAAAAAAAAAACCTTAGCTAGGCATGGTGGCATGCACCTGTAATTCCAACACTTTGGGAGACTGAGGTGGAGGATTGTCTGAGCTCAGGAGTTTGAAGCTGCAGTGAGCTATGATCGTGCCACTGCATTCCAGCCTGGGTGACAGAATGAGACCCTGTCTCTAAAAAATAAAAATAATAAGAGTCAGGCATGGTGGCTCATGCCTGTAATCCCAGCACTTTGGGAGGTCAAGGCAGATGGATCACCTGAGGTCAGGCGTTTCAGACCAGCCTGGCCAACATGGTGAAACCCCATTTCTACTAAAAATACAAAAACTAGCTAGACATTGTGGTGCGTGCCTGTAGTCCCAGCTACGCGGGAGGCTGAGGCAGGAGAATCCCTTGAACCAAGGAGGCAGAGGTTGCAGTGAGCCAAGACTGTGCCATTGCACTCCAGCCTGGACGACAGAGGGAGATCTGTCTCAAAAAAAAAAAAAAAAGTAGCATGTAAATACAGATATGTGTGTGGCTGCATGGAATTTTTTTTTTTGATAAGGAGTTTTACTCTTATTTCCCAGGCTTGAGTGTAATGGCACGATCTCGGCTCACTGCAACCTTTGCCTCCCAGTTTCAAGCAATGTTCTTGGCTCAGCCTCCTGAGTAGCTGGGATTACAGGTGTGCCCCACCACACCTGGCTAATTTTGTATTTTTAGTAGAAGCAGGTTTCACCATGTTGGTCAGGCAGGTTGAAAATTTTGATTGATTGATTGATTTTTTGAGGTGAAGTTTTGCTTTGTTGCCAGGCTGGAATGCAGTGGCTCGATCCAGCTCACCGCAACCACCTCCCAGGTTCAAACGACTCCCCTGCTTCAGCATCCCAAGTACCTGGGACTATAGCTGAGTGTTACCTCGCCCAGCTAATTTTAGTATTTTAGTAGAGACAGGGTTTCTCCATGTTGGCCAGGATGGTCTGGATCTCCTGACCTCAGGTGATCTGTCTGCCTTGGCCTCCCAAAGTGCTGGGATTACAGGCATGAGCCACCATGCCCGACCTAAAAATCCTACATTTTTTAATTAAAAAAAAAATTTTTGTTTAGAGATGGGGTCTTATGTTGCCCAGGCTGGAGTGCAGTAGCGCAATCTCTGCTCACTGCACCCTCTGCCTCCCCAGCTCAAGCAATCCTTCCACCTCCGCCTCCCAAGTAGCTGGGACCACAGGTGTGTGCCGCCATGCCTGGCTGATTGTGTGTGTGTGTAGTTTTTTTTATTATTATTTTTTTTGAGACGGAGTTTCGCTCTTGTTACCCAGGCTGGAGTGCAATGGCGCGATCTCGGCTCACAGCAACCTCCGCCTCCTGGGTTCAGGCAATTCTCCTGCCTCAGCCTCCTGAGTAGCTGGGATTACAGGCACGCGCCATCATGCCCAGCTAATTTTTTGTATATTTTTTTAGTAGAGACGGGGTTTCATCATGTTGACCAGGATGGTCTCGATCTCTTGACCTCGTGATCCACCCGCCTCGGCCTCCCAAAGTGCTGGGATTACAGGCTTGAGCCACCGCGCCCGGCTATTATTATTTTTTAAGATGGGGTTTCACCGTGTTAGTCAGGCTGGTCTTGAACTCCCGACCTCAGGTGATCTGCCCGCCTTGGCCTCCAAAGTGCTCGGATTACAGGCGTGAGCCACCACGCCTGGCCATGTGTGTAGTTTCAGTAGAGATGGGGTTTCACCATGTTGCCCAGGCTGGTCTCAGACTCTTGAGCTCAAGCCATCCACCCACCTTGTCTTCCCAAAGGGCTGGGATTACAGACGTGAGCCACTATGCCGGCCCAAGATCCTGTTTCTTAAGCCCTGGCACAGTGCCAGGCTCAGGGTTTTGTACATGTGATTTTATGAAATTTCTCAGCGGCCCATTTTACAGAGAAGGAAATGGAGTCTTGGCACACTGTGGCTTATTAATACGATAGTGAAGCCTCTGCCTCTGAAGCGCCTGGCCTTCACTCCTCACCTATAATGGCCACTAAAGGGAATGAGGAAAGAAGGAAGGAATGGAGGGAGGGAGGAAAATAAGGACATCGGGGATGGGATTGGGCACCACAATAAAATCTGAGTCGTTTTATGGAAAAGCAGTGTCAGCGACATGAAGGAGAGCGGAAGGGGTGGCTACTCACCAGGTGGAGTGCTGTCCGTGTGACACAGAGGCCCTGTAGAAGGGGGAGGGGCTAGTTCCTTCCTTTTTTTTTTTTTTTTTTTTTTTGTCTGAGAAGGAGTCTCATTCTGTCTCCCAGGCTAGAATGCAATGGCTCGATCTTGGCTCACTGCAACCTCTGCCTCCTGGGTTCAAGTGATTTTCCTGCCTCAACCCCCCAAGTAGCTGGGACTACAGGTGCCTGCCACCACACCCAGCTAATTTTTGTATTTTTAGTAGAGCCAGGGTTTCGCCATATTGGTCAGGCTGGTCTTGAACTCCTGGCCTTGGGTGATCCACCCACTTCAGCCTCCCAAAGTGCAGGGATTACAGGCGTGAGCCACCTCAGCCGGCAACTAGTTCCTTTCAAAGCCTTTTCTGGCCAGCCCCATCTCATTGGTATCCCAGGAATCTGAGTCCCCCACTCCTCTCTCCTCTGGGAAACAAGAATCTTATACCTCCCTCGTTCTGTCTCAGGCAGAAATGCAAACTCCCATTACCCAGCAACTGAAAACGTCTGAACCCAGACCCCTCTGGCCTGGGAACCCAAGAGTTCAGGCCCTTGAACTCCCCCTTTTCAGGAGACAGTGATCGAAGAGTTTCTCCTCTCCTGGTTCAGGAATCTGAGTCTCCATTTCCCTGTTCTCTCAGGAGCTACGAGCTCTGTTCCCAGCCCCCTTTCACCAGGGAATTAGGAGTCCTGGCTTCCATCCCCATCCCGTGTGAGATTCTAGAAGTCCTCCCTGTCCGCTACCCTCTTCCTGCCTCAGGATCCAGAGAGACCTGTCCCCATCTCCTTCCTCTTACGGGAATCTGTCTTCTCTTACTTTAGGACCCAGGGGTCTGGGCCCCAGTCCTGTTCTTTATTTGAACCTAGAATCTCAAGCCCCCAGCTCGTGCTGCTGGTCCCCCTGCAGGGTGTCTGGGTCTCCATCGCCTCTCTCTCTGCCCCCCACCCCAGCCAGGAACTCAGGGAGGAGGAAGGGGCAGCTCACAGACGGTCAGCAGCTGGAGGATCAGCACCAGGGCCATGGTGGGCAGATATCCCTGCAGCTGCTGCCAGAGCTTGGCTGTTCCCTCCCAGGAAATGAGGCAACATCAGAAAGCCAGACCCAGAGCCCAGTTTAGGAAAGAGAAGCGAGGTGGGGGCCTATGGGTCACTGTGTCATAGCCCCATGGCACCGTGGAAAAAGTTAGCAGGGGGGTCAGTCATAACCTGTGGTGTTCATTAATTTAGCTCTAGAAACAAATACTCATTGGGAGGTGGAGATGGGAGGATCGCTTGAGTCCAGGAGTTCAACATGGCGAGACCCTGTCTAAAAAAAAAAAATTGTGCAACATCGCTCCAGCCTGAGTGATAGAGTGAGACCATGTCTTTAAATATAGACAGACAGACAGAAAGATATCTGTCTGTTTTAAAAATAAGAACCTATAATATGCCAGACTATTGCTGTGATTGATTGATAAAAATTAGCACCTATCATGTGCCAGGCCCTTGCTGTGATTGATAGATAGATGATAGATAAATAGATAAAAATTAGTGCCTATTAAGTGCCAGGCCCTTGCTGTGATTGATTGACAGATAAAAATGAGCACCAATTTATGTGGCAGGCCTTGTTGTGATTGATTGATCGATTGATAAAATGATTGACAGGCATAAAAATTAGCACCTATTATGTACCAGGCCCTTGCTGTGATACTGTGATAGATAGATGGATGATTGATTGATAGATAAAAAATTCGCACCTATTAAGTGCTGGGCCCTTGCTGTGCGATGTCCATTACTACTCTCAAGTTGCAGCTACCAGTCCAACTGAAAGACTCAGACCAGGTCAGTTTGTTCAGTGATCTGAGCCATACTGGCGGTTACAGGGCACTGTGAGAGCCCACAGAAGGCTCCTAAGCCATCTGCGATGAGACCTAGCGCTTCCAGGATGAGCTGATCTTGAGCTGAGAGGCCTCAAAGGGCAGGTTAATCATTCACCTTCTCCCGGGCTCAGTTTCTTCATCTGTAAAATGGGCTTTCATGCATAAACTATAAAATGGGAACTATTTTGTTCTGCCTTAAGTGGATCGCAGCAGGACCAGTCACTCCGGACCGACTTCAAGGCTGAGAAACACCCTGTTCCCTCCCAGGAAATGAGGCCACATCAGAAAGCCAGACCCAGAGCCCAGTGTAGGGAAGAGAGAAGCGAGGTGGGGGCCTGTGGTGACTGTCATGGCCCCATGGTGCCGTGGCAAAAGTTAGCAGGGGGGTCAGTCATAACCTGTGGTGTTCATTAGTTTAACTCTAGAAACAAATACTCATTGGGAGGCAGAGGTGGGAGGATCGCTTGAGCCCAGTTCATGAGCAGCCTGGTCCACATGGCGAGACCCTGTCTAAAAAAATAAATAAATAGTGCCACCTCGCTCCAGCCTGGGTGATAGAGTGAGTCCATGTCTTTAAATACAGACAGATAGATAGAAAGATATCTGTACATCTGTTTTAACAATAACCCAAAATAAGGAGATCCCACGCAGGTGCGCAAACAGGATTGCGCTTGCTCCCGGGACCACGTCCTTTACCACCGCTGCCTCATCTTGGTTCTGCGCTAGTGCGCACGCGCAGACTCTGACAGCAGCGCCTCGCGCAGAGGGACCACAACTCCCAGGGTGCTCCGCGTCCTGGCTTTCGCCTCCACCTCTGCTCCAGGACGCGCGCGCGACCAGGGGAGTCTCGCGCAGAGACCACAACTTCCAGAGTGCTTCGCGTGCTCTCCGGTGTCGCCGCCGCCGAGACCAAGATGGCCGCAAGTAAGTGCAGGTGTCGGTGGCGCGCGGGGCTCGGGAATCTCCAGGCGGTCCTGGGACTAAGGTGTAGTGGGAAAGTGGTGGAGGCGATGTGGTCCGTGCTGGAGGGGGAGGCAGAAGCTACGAGGGGGCTCCTCCAGGGCAGGGGTGGCACGAGAGGGTTAGAGGTCACTGGGGGCAGCCCCTTGCAGGGGTGACCCTCCTCGCCACTCCTGCAGGACTCGGCGCCTTCCTCAAGAATGCTTGGGCCAAGGAGCCAGTACTGGTCGTGTCCTTCTTCATCGGGACCCTCGGTGCGTGAGTCTCCAGGCGCAAACTTGCATCATCCACCCCTGTCCCTCCACATCGCTCCATCTTGTACCCCAAAGCCCTATCGCCGTCCTCGAGTCCCCTTGTCTATCCCCATACCCTTTGTAACCTCTCCACCATCGCCCCCGCGTTCCTCTCCATCTACCCAACACGCTCTTAACCCCCCTAAATGAGACGTTCTCAACCCTACTTATGCATCAACACCTGAGCACCAAAAATAAAGTCCAGATCCTCCTCTTCCTCCCTTTCAGCTCCCCTCTCCTATTCTGAATTGAATTGGCTTGGCTGGAGGTTGGGCTGGGGAATCTGCGTCTTGTGAAAAATCCCCCTATTATCCTAACGTGCCTTCCAGATGAAAACCTTTGTTGTGGAACTCTGCTGTTCACATTTTAATTAGCACCGGAGTTCCTTGTAGGGGTGGGGGCGGGGGATTGTTAAAATGTAGTTTGTTTTTGGTTTTTCTTTTTTCTTTTGGAAACATAGTCTTACTGTCACTCAGGCTGAAATGACGCCATCTGGCTCACTGCAACCTCCGCTTCCTGGGTTCAAGGGATTTTTCTGCCTCAGCCTCCTGAGTAGCTGGGATGACAGACACCCATCTAATTTTTTCTTTCTTTCTTTTTTTTTATTTTCCTGCTATGCAGTTTCCCTCTGTCTTCCAGGCTGGAGTGCAGTGGCATGATCTCGGCTCACTGCAACCTCTGCCTTTGGGGTTCAAGTGATTCTCCTATCTCAGCCTTTTGAGTAAGTGAGATTACAGGCACTCACCACGTCTGGCTAATTTTTTTATTTTTAGTAGAGACAGGATTTCGCCACGTTGGCCAGGCTGGTCTGGAACTCCTGACCTCAAGTGATCCACTTTCCCAAAGTGCTGAGATTATAGGCATGAGCCACTGGGCCAAGCCAGACTGTAGGTTCTGTTTCTGTAGGCCTGGGGTGGGGCCTGGGATGCAAGCATTTTTGAAGAGCTTCCCAGGTCTTGTCAGCACTGCTGGTCCACCAGCCAGGCACTAAGTAAGGTTCTGAACATTTGTTCAGTATGGCAGCTGGCAGCCACCAGCCACACCTGGCCCCACTGACAAGTTGAAGTGGGGCTGGTATGAATTGAGGTGGTATAAAAAACACTGGATTTCAAAAACTTAGTATAAGAAAGTGTGGGCCTGGCGCAGTGGCTCACGCCTGTAATCCCAGCACTTTGGGAGGCCAAGGCAGGCAGACCACAAGGTCAGGGGTTTGAGACCATCCTGGCCAATATGGTGAAACTCTGTCTCTACTAAAAATATTAAAAAACTAGCCAGGTGTGGTGGTGCATGCCTGCAGTCCCAGCTACTTGGGAGGCTGAGGCAGGAGAATGGCTTGAACCCAGGAGGCCGAGGTTGCAGTGAGCCGAGATTGCACCGCTGTATTCCAGCCTGGACAATAGAGGGAGACTCTGCCTCAGGAAAAAAAAAAAAAAAAAAAAGTGTGTAAACTACCAATAATCTCTTGTTGATTAGATGTTGAAGTGACGTTTTGGATCTACCAAATTGAGTATGTTTCTTAAAATTTGTTTCATCTGTATCTTTTATTTTTACTAGAAGATACAAAATTATATACCTGGCTCTTACCATCTGTCAGACCTTTCAGGCCTAGAACAATCCTTTTATGTACTGTGCCCCGTCCCCCAGGACTCTTGGCTCCCACTGAGTGGACTGTGACTCCTTAGTGGCTGTTGTTTGGACTCTTGGCTCCCACTGAGTGGACTGTGACTCCTTAGAGACTGTTGTTTGGACTCTTGGCTCCCACTGAGTGGACTGTGACCCCTTAGTGACTGTTGTTTGGACTCTTGGCTCCCACTGAGTGGACTGTGACCCCTTAGTGACTGTTGTTTGGACTCTTGGCTCCCACTGAGTGGACTGTGACCCCTTAGTGACTGTTGTTTGGACTCTTGGCTCCCACTGAGTGGACTGTGACTCCTTAGTGACTGTTGTTTGGACTCTTGGCTCCCACTGAGTGGACTGTGACCCCTTAGAGACTGTTGTTTGGACTCTTGGCTCCCACTGAGTGGACTGTGACCCCTTAGAGACTGTTGTTTGGACTCTTGGCTCCCACTGAGTGGACTGTGACCCCTTAGTGACTGTTGTTTGGACTCTTGGCTCCCACTGAGTGGACTGTGACCCCTTAGTGACTGTTGTTTGGACTCTTGGCTCCCACTGAGTGGACTGTGACCCCTTAGTGACTGTTGTTTGGACTCTTGGCTCCCACTGAGTGGACTGTGACCCCTTAGTGACTGTTGTTTGGACTCTTGGCTCCCACTGAGTGGACTGTGACCCCTTAGTGACTGTTGTTTGGACTCTTGGCTCCCACTGAGTGGACTGTGACCCCTTAGTGACTGTTGTTTGGACTCTTGGCTCCCACTGAGTGGACTGTGACCCCTTAGTGACTGTTGTTTGGACTCTTGGCTCCCACTGAGTGGACTGTGACCCCTTAGTGACTGTTGTTTGGACTCTTGGCTCCCACTGAGTGGACTGTGACCCCTTAGTGACTGTTGTTTGGACTCTTGGCTCCCACTGAGTGGACTGTGACACCTTAGTGGCTGTTGTTTGGACTCTTGGCTCCCACTGAGTGGACTGTGACTCCTTAGTGACTGTTGTTTGGACTCTTGGCTCCCACTGAGTGGACTGTGACCCCTTAGTGGCTGTTGTTGGGACTCTTGGCTCCCACTGAGTGGACTGTGACTCCTTAGTGGCTGTTGTTTGTACAACCCTTTCTCCTCCAGTTTGTAACAGTCTCTTTTTTTTTTTTGAGATGGAATCTGTGTCACCCAGGCTGGAGTGCAGTGGCACGATCTGGGCTCACTGCAGCCTCAACCTCCCAGGCTCAAGGGTCTCCTGCCTCAGCCTCCTGAATAGCTGGGATTATAGGCGCCACCACCACATGCAGCTAATTTTTATGTTTTTAGTAGAGATGGGGTTTCATTCACCATGTTGGTCAGGCAGGTCTCGAACTCCTGACCTCAGGTGATCTGCCCACCTTGGGCTCTCAAAGCACTGGGATTACAGGCGTGAGCCACCGCGTCCAGCCGTTTGTAACAATCTTGATTTCTAAGGAACAGTCCCATGACACCACCCCCAGGATGCTCCGTGATGAACGCTAATGCACTCATTCCATGACCAACCCCACTGCTCCCTCTTCTAGGCCCCATGTATCTGTGTTGGGCTCCCACCCCTAACTCCACTTAACCCCCCAAAAAAGAGTTTTAAACTCTCCTATCTAGAATAGGGATCCCAAGGTACCAAGGATCTTCCTGGAGGTGCTGGCCCTCCCCCTTTGCACTTTATCTTCCCTTTGCCAAGGCTCAGCCTCTCTTCCCCTCTCCTCAGAGAGCTGCCTTCCCCTGGGCCTCACACCTGTGTCTCTCCACAGCTGTAATTCTGCCCCCAATCAGCCCCTACTTCAAGTACTCTGTCATGATCAACAAGGCCACGCCCTACAACTACCCAGGTAAGTGGGGGCCCTGCAGGGATGCGCCCTGTGCTGGGGCGGGGTGGGGCCGGGCTGGTATGGGTGGGTCTTTCCTAAGCAGGGGTCAGACATAGCAGTGCTGCCTGTACTCCCCCCTGCTCAACTTTTTAGGAATTGAGCTCCAATTCCTATACTGCTCTGTTTGTGCTTCCAGTTTCCATTTCCTTCCAGGTTTCTGTCCCTCTCTGGGTTGCTGTCTGTGGAGTTCTCTCGGTCTCCATCTTTACGGGTTTCTGTCCTGTTTCCCCATCTGTTTTGGGGGTCTGTCTCTGTCTCACCGGTTTTCCATGTCTCCAGTTTTCCATGTCTCTCGGTCTCCATCTCTCTGGTTTTCCATGTCTCTCGGTCTCTGTCTCTCCCTGACTCTTCTGCATCACCGATTCTCCGATCCTTACCCTCCTCTCACCCCCTGGCATCTCCCTTTCCCTCTGTGAATATAAAGCGACCAACAGCTCTTCTCTCCAGGCCCTGGAGACGTGCTGGTCTCAGCGGCCCCCTCTTATCCCACAGTGCCTGTCCGCGATGATGGGAACATGCCCGACATACCCAGCCACCCCCAGGACCCCCAGGGGCCCAGCCTGGAGTGGCTGAAGAACCTGTGAGCACCTCCACTGACCAAGGCGCACCCTCAGCTCCCAATAAAAATGTGAAAACCAACCCCAGAATGTGAGCATGTGTGTGATCAGAGGCGGGAACAGGAGACGGTGGTCAGGGTGAGTGTGGGGTCAGTTTACTGGGCGTGGGTCAGTCAGAGGGTGGGCTGGCTAGGGTCGGGTAGGGCAGCAGTTTGTCTGGACCCCGAGACACCCAACTGGAATCCAGGGCCTCGTCTGCTTCAAAGCCAAAGTCTTCCTCGACCTTAATCTGCAGGAGATAATAAAGTGTTAGTCAGCTGGGAATCTAGAAAATCCGATCAGCTTCACTGTTTTCGTTTTCATTTTGTTTCAATTTTTAAAGAGACAGGCCCTCACTCTGTTGCCCAGGCTGGAGTGCAGTGGTGCCATCATAGTTTACTGCAGGCTCTGCCTCCCAGGCTCAAGGGATCCTCCCACCTCAGCCTCCCAAGTAGCTGGGACTACAGGCACAGGCCAACCAAGCCGACCTTTTTTTTTTTTCTTTCCTGGTAGAGATGAGGTCTCAGTATGTTGCTCAGGGAGATCTTAAGCTCTTGGCCTCAAGTGAACCTCCCTCCTGGGCCTCCCAGAGTGCTGGGATTACAGGCCTGAGCCACTGCACCTGGCCATCCTCACTGTTCTAGTCTTGCCAGGCCGGTCGGCTTCCTCCTTATACCTCAGAGGTAATCCCAGTGTTCCTGGGTCCAGATGCTCTTCCGACTTTCCTCCCCTAACTGGCCTTCTCTTACGCCCTCTCTTTGACCCCTCCCTCTCCTCTCCTCCCAGCCTTCTCCAGTTACTTTCCTTCTCTAGGTCTTCTCCTTCCCTTTCCAACTTTGCCTCCTTTTCTACCCAGCCTTTGCCCCACTTTTTCCAGCTACCTCCCTGCCTGATCCTAGGCTTCCAACACTTCCTGTTTCACCACCTTTCTCCAACTTGCCCAGCCCCCAAGAGCCCTGAACTTGATTCCGCCCAGCCCCAGTCCCTCCCCTTGAGTTTCCCCCTTCCTCACCTGCACTGGTGCCAGCTCTGGAGTCAGCGCAGTTCCTGCTCGACGTCCATCCCGTGGTACTCGCCTCCTCTTCCGCCCACTGGGCCCCTCGACGGGGACTGGGCTGCCAGGTTCTGGGGGTGCAGGAGTCCTTCTCGGCGGGGACAGTGCCTCTTTCTCTGGAGGCTCATTCTCAGCATTACCTGGGGTGGGAGCATCTGTGCCCTGGCTGCCCTCATCCTGGCAGGGAGGAGCAGGAGGTGGGTGATGGTGTATCCTGGGCTTCCAGTGCCTGACCCTCCTGGAGACCCAACACTCACCTCCAGCACAATGGTGAACTGGCTGGCCCGGTAGTCATCCCCGTAGGAGTCCAGCACTCTCATGAGGAACCTGCTCAGGGAGAAGCCACCGATGGAATGAGTTAATCTCCTAGCAGTTGGGGAAGAGCTCAGTTCCCGCTCCACTCGAAGCGAAAGCTGTCCTGGACCCGGGAGGTCCTGAGCTCTGGCTTTGGAGGCCTGGAGCGAGACAAGGCAACCATTCTGAGGCTGAGTTTCCTGCTCTGCAAACGGGCTGACAGCCTCGACTGCACTGGGTGCTGCAGTGGGGACACTGACGCAGTGACACCAGCGGATTTCTGTGAAGTGCTTCATGTGGTATCGGCACTTAGGAAACGTTCATATGGGAGTTCGAATTTTTTTTTTTTTTTGAGATGGAGCCTTGCTCTGTTGCCCAGGCTGGAGTGCAGTGGCATTATCTTAGCTCACTGCAACCTCCGCCTCCCAGGATCAAGCGATTCTCCTGCCTCAGCCTCCTGAGTAGCTGGGATTACAGGCACGTGCCATCATGCCCAGCTAATTTTTGTGTTTTCAGTAGAGATGGGGTTTCACCATGTTGATCAAGCTGGTCTCAATCTCCTGACCTTGTGATCCACCCCCAGCCTCCTAAAGTGCTGGGATTATAGGCGTGAGTCACCACGCCCAGCTGTGAGGATTTTTTTGATAACTGAAAAGTGGCAGAGGGGAGTGCATACACTTCTGATGACCTTGCCTTTTATCAACACTGGCTTCTGTTTTTCCCAGTCCCTGCCTCCAGAGTTCCTTATTTTTGAAATTCTAATTGATGGAATGCTTCCTCTGCACCAGCGCCTGGACAAAGTTTTTTGTCGTTTTTGAGACGAAGTCTCGCTTTGTCTCCCAGGCTGGAGTGCAATGGCGCAATCTTGGCTCACCCCCACCTCTGCCTCCTGGGTTGAAGCGATTCTCCTGCCTCAGCCTCCCAAGTAGCTGGGATGACAGGTGCCTGCCTAGCTAATGTTTGTGTTTTTAGTAGAGACGGGTTTTCCCCATGTTGGCCAGGCTGCTATTGAACTCCTGACCTCAGGTGAGCCACCTGCCTCGGCCTCCCAAAGTGCTCAGATTACAGGCGTGAGCCACCGTGCCCGGCCAGGATGCTTTTCAGGCAGATCTTGTTCTTTACACATGCCCTGAGTGCCCGCTCTGCTGTCGGTGCTGTTCTGAGGGCATATCAGGGACAAAACAAAGGCCCCTGTTGCTGACGGAACTCAGGGTCACAGCCCTAAGTAGACAGACAGTGAACAAGCCAACAAAACACAGCAGACCAGAAAGTGGAAAGGAGGTAGATGATGCCGGGATTGGAACTTCAAAAGCTGGGGGCAGAGGCCTCACCAAGCAGATGCAGAAGTGGCAGGGCCAAGCGAGCGCCTGGTTTCTAGTGCAGCAGATGTGAGGGGCGCTTGGAGCCAGAGCCTGCTAGGTGCTGTAGGACATTCAGGCAGGTGTGAGGGGCGCTCTGAGCCAGGGCCTGCTCAGTGCTGTGGGACATTTAGGCAGGTGTGAGGGGCGCTCGGAGCCAGGGCCTGCTCAGTGCTGTGGGACATTCAGGCAGGTGTGAGGGGCGCTCTGAGCCAGGGCCTGCTCGGTCCATTCACTTTTACTCTGAGTCAGCTAAGAGCCACCTCAGAGGGGTGGAGGAGGGGCTTGGTCTGTCTGACATTTCAGAAGGACTGATGGGGCCGGAGAACTTGCATTTGCACCAAGTTCCCAGTTGGCCCTGATGCTGCCAGTCCACGGGCCACGCCTGCAGAACCACAGGCTGGGCTCCAGGTCAACAGTGTGGAAAGCCTGATTCTCACTTAGCTGTGCAAAATTATTCAGGGAGGTTTTGCATGCACACAGGCTTTCTTAACTCTGCACCCAAAAGGCTACCGATCCCTTTCATAAACTCTCCTGATCTGAAAAACCTTGGCTAAGGCAGCACGCGGTGGCTCACGCTGTAGTCCCAGCACTTTGGGAGGATGAGGTGGGTGGATCACCTAGGTCAGGAGTTCAAGACAAGCCTGGCCAATATGGTGAAACCCTGTCTATTAAAAATACAAGAACTAGCCAGGCGTGGTGGTACACACCTGTAATCCCAGCTATTTGGGAGGCTGAGATTACAGCCTCAGAAGAATCACTTGAACCCCAGAGATGCGAAGGTTGCAGTGAGCTGAGATCCACCACAGCACTCCAGCCTGGCCACAAAGTGAAACTGTGTATCAAAAAAAATGGCTACAGGCACAAAGAGGAAAAGGTGGGGCTTGCCCTGGCTGTTTTAAGAGGAGACTTGGGCTAAGGGAGAGGCAGGGAGGCAGAGAGCAGTGATCCAAGTGAGAGGCTGTGTCCCCAGGCCCAGGCTGGTGGCAGCAGAGGAGTGAGAAGACTGGGTATATTCTAGGGGTAAAGGTGACGGGGAGCAACCCACTCTACCCGGCCCTCCCTCAGTCCCAGTGCTCAGCGCTCCTCCCTCCAAGACCGAATTCCACTCTTCCTGCTTGCCTCAGCCCCAGGCCCTCATCTCCAGGCTCTCTTCCTTGTGACTTGTGAGGGTTGGGTGGTCATGGGAGTGGGGAGACACGATAGCGGGTGAGAGTGTCTGGGAGCTGAAGCTCACAGGCCCAGTGGAGGCACAGAAGGGGTTACCTCCTCTCCTGCTGTAGCCTCCGAGTGATCCTCTGCACTTGATGGAGCCTGTTCAGGACCCGCTCGTTCACCTGTGGGGTGGGAAACTCACATGAGCTGGCTCCCACTCCTCCCATTCATTTGTTCAACGGATGTGTAATGGAGCACTTGCTAAGCTTGGGGGAGACTGGACAAAGACCCTCCTGTGGCCTGAGGCCACGTCCACCTTCCCATCCCTCCCACTCCCCTCTCACCACGCTGGGTCCTGAGTGCCCTCCTGTGGGGCCTTCCACATGCCATTCTTCTACATGGACCCTCGACCCAGCCATTCACGCAGCTCACTCCCCACTCCCTCAAGTCTTACATCAACTGTTACCTGCTCAGGGAGCCCAAACCTCCCATTAAGTCGAAACATACCAGGCCAGGCACAGTGGCTCACACCTGTAATCCCAGCACTTTGGGAGGCCAAGGCAGGCAGATCACCTGAGGTCAGGAGTTCGAAAGCAGCCTGGCCAACATGGCGAAACCCCGTCTCCACTAAAAATACAAAAAATTAGCCAGGCGTGGTGGCATGTGCCTGCAGGAGAATCACTTGAACTGGGAGGCAGAGGCTGCAGTGAGCTGAGATCATGTCACTGCAATCCAGCCTGGATGACAGAGTAACACCCTGTTTAAAAAAAAAAAAACAGCTGGGTACGGTGACTCACGCCTGTAATCCCAGCACTTTGGGAGGCCTAGGTGGGTGGATCACCTGAGGTCAGGAGTTCAAGACCAGCCTGACCAACATGGTGAAACCTTGTATCTACTAAAAATACAAAATTAGCTGGGTGTGGTGGTGCATGCCTGTAATCCCAGCTACTCGGGATGCTGAGGCAGGAGAATCGCTTGAACCCAGGAGGTGGAGGTTGCGGTGAGCTGAGATCGCACCATTGCTCTCCAGCCTGGGCAGCAAGAATGAAACCCCATCTCAAAAAGAAAAAAGAAAAAGACCTGAGTTCAAATCTTGGCTCCGGCTTGGCATGGTGGCTTATGCCTATAATCCCAGCACTTTGAGAGGCCAAGGCAGGAGGATCACTTGAGGCCAGGAGTTTGACACCAGCCTGGGCAACAGAGTGAGACCCCATGACTACAAAAAAGAAAAAAAAGTAGCTGGGCATGGTGGCTGTAGTCCCAGCTTCTTGGGAGGCTGGAGGCTAAGACAGGAAGATTGCTAGAGCCCAGGAGGTGGAGGCTGCAGTGAGCCACAATCATACCACTGCACTCCAGCCTGCGCAACAGAGCGAGACCCCATCTCACAAAAAGTTTCAGGTCTGCCCCTGCTGAGCTCTGTGCTTCGGTGTGTTACTTAACCTCTCTGAGCCTTAATTTTCTATACTTGTAAATAGACGTAATAACAGGATCTATTCCTGGGGGCTGGATTAAGAGCAGAGGCTCCAGTTGAGTCCCTTGGGGCCTGGGTGTCCATATGTTAAACAGAGTTTGGAATATGCCCCAGCCTCCCTCCTTACAGAACTCCCTAGCGCCGTCATTAAGAGCTGAGGCCAGGTGCAGTGGCTCATGCCTGTAATCCTAGTATTTGGGGAAGCCAAGGCGAGGGGATCCCTTGAGGTGAGGAACTCAAGACCAGCCTGGGCAACATGGCGAAACCCCAGCTCTACAAAAAGTACAAACGTTAGCCAGGTGTGGTGTGCCTGTAGTCCCCGCTGTTTTGGGGGCTGAGGCAGGATTGCTTGAACCTGGGAGGTTGAGGCTGCAATGAGCTGAGATTGCACCACTGCACTCCAGCTTTGGTGACAAAGTGAGACGCTGCCTCAACAAAGAGGAGGAAAAAAGCTGAAGGTCAGGCGTGGTGGCTCACACCTGTAATCCCAGCACCTTGGGAGGCTGAGGTGGGTGGATCACCTGAGGTCAGGAGTTTGAGACCAGCCTGGCCAACGTGGTGAAACGCCGGCTCTACTAAAAATACAAAAATTAGTTGGGTGTGGTGGCACACACCTGTAGTCCCAGCTACTCGGGAGACTGAGGCAGGAGAATCACCTGAACCCAGGAGGTGGAGGTTACAGTGAGCAAAGATGGCACCACTGCACTCCAGCCTGGGCCTCCCCAGACGAGATTCCATTCCCCCCACCCAAAAAAAAAAAAGTTGAATTATGTCCCCCTAAAAGGGATTTTTAAGGCCATAACCCCCAGTACCGCAGAATCTGACCGTATTTAGAGATATAGGGTTGTCACAAGAGGAATCAAGTTAAAATGAAGCCGTGGGTGGGCCCCAATCCAGTGTGACCGGAGTCCTTATGAACAGGAAGCGGCACGCAGACACACGCAGAGGGAGCAGCAGAATGAAGATGAGGATGGAGATCAGGCTGATGTTTCTATGTGCCAGCGACGGCCAGCAACCTCCAGAAGCCAGGGAGAGGCCTGGAACAGATTCTCACAAGCCCGCCGACACCTTGCCTTGAGCTGCCAGCCTCCAGAACTGTTAGGAATTTCTGTTCCTTTTTCTTTTTTTGAGATGGATTTTCACTCTTGTCACCCAGGCTGGAGTGCAGTGGCTTGATCTTGGCTCACCACAACCTCCACCACCAGGCTCCAGCGATTCTCCTGCCTCAGCCTCCTGAGTAGCTGGGATTACAGGCGCCCACCACCACGCACAGCTAATTTTGTATTTTTAGTAGAGATGGGTTTCACCACGTTGGTCAGGCTGGTCTCGAACTCCTGGCCTCAGGTGATCCATCCACCTCAGCCTTCCAAAGTGCTGGGATTACAGGCATGAGCCATCGCACCTGGCCAGGAATTTCTGTTCTTGAGGGACCCTGTTTCTGAGGCATTATGGGAGTCCTAGCAAACTAATCTAGCTGTCTTCACAGACCTTCAAGCATCCAGACCTGATGCTGTCCCTCCTCCGTTTGAAACCCTTCAATGGCTCCTCTTCACTCTCAAGGAAAAAAAAAAGTCTCCAAACTTCGTGCCTTGGTGTCCCTGGCCTGCCAGGATCTGAGCCCTGCCTGATGTTCCATCCTCATTGATTTTTTTTTTTTTTTGAGACGGAGTTTCGCTCGTTACTCAGGCTGGAGTGCAATGGCGCGATCCCAGCTCACCGCAACCTCCGCCTCCTGGGTTCAGGCAATTCTCCTGCCTCAGCCTCCTGAGTAGCTGGGATTACAGGCATGCGCCACCATGCCCAGCTAATTTTTTGTATTTTTAGCAGAGATGGGGTTTCACCATGTTGACCAGGATGGTCTCGATCTCTTGACCTCGTGATCCACCTGCCTCGGCTTCCCACAGTGCTGGGATTACAGGCATGAGCCACTGTGCCTGGCCCTGATTTTTTTTTTTAAGTCTTACTCTGTCACCCAGGGTGGAGTGCTATGGCATGATCTCGGCTCACTGCAACCTCCACCTCCTGCGTTCAGCCAGTTCTTACGCCTCAGCCTCACAAGTAGCTGGGACGACAGGTGCACACCACCACACCTGGTTAACTCTTTGTATTTTTAGTGGAGATGATGGGGTTTCATCATGTTGGCCAGGCTGGTCTGGAACTCCTGACCTTAGGTAATTCTCATGCCTTGGCCTCCCAAAGTCCTGGGATTACAGGCCTGAGCCACAATGCCTGGGCCATCCCTCATTCTCAGCAGGGAGGCTGGTGCAGTTATTCACCCTAGACAAACTGGAGTTTGCCATGGCAGCCGTGGGGATGGAGGGTCAGAATGAATGGGTGGAGAGGAGTGAACCCTGGCAGGGGCATGGGAGATGTGAAGAGCCTGGACTTTCACCTGTCTCTACTACCTATTGAGAGACCCCTGGGAGACATCACAGCACCCATCTGGGTTGTCAGGGAAACTCCACAGGAGATGGAGGGGCCTGGCACAGGGCCAGACACATAGGGATGCTAAATGAGTGAATAAGCAAAAGATTCATTCAGCGAGCCAAGGAAGGCTGGGCATGTGGAGAGGCAGAGATGGCGGGGGGCAGTAGCTTAGGCCAGGGGACCCCAAAACGGGGATCCGCACTCACCTACCTGCTCGATCTCCCGGCAGCGCCGACCTAGTGCCTGGTACTTTCTGCGGTTTAATTCCCGCTGGCGCCGCCGCCGACCCCGGGCTGCCTCTTCCTCTTCATCTCGCTCCCGGAGCCCTGAGCCACCCAGGCCACCTGACACAAACTCCACTTCCGTCTCCAGCTCACTCTCCAGGATGTGGCCACCAAATAGGGGAGGCAACGCCAACTCTGAGCCTGGTGGCGCTGAAAACTCCTCAAAGCCCACGGCTGCCATGGTCCTAAGGGGCAGGGAAAGGCTCAGGGGCCCTGGATCCTGGATTCTCAGCGCCCCTCTTCCCATTGAACCAGCAGCCCAAACCCCACCCCCTCCTTCATACCCCAGAATCCAGGCCCCCAGCCCCTCCTCCCTCAGACCCAGGAGTCCAGGCACCCAGCCCCTCCTCCCCCAGACCCAGGAGTCCAGACCCCCAGCTCTTTCTCCCTCAAACTCAGGAGTCCAGGCACCCAGCCCCTCCTCTCTCAGATCCAGGAGTCCAGGCCCCAGCCCCTCCTCCCTCAGACCCAGGAGTCCAGGCCCCCATCCCCTCCTCCCCCAGACCCAGGAGTCCAGGTCCCCGGCCCGTCCTTCCTCAGACCCAGGAGTCCGGGTCCCCGGCCCCTCCTCCCTCAGACCCAGGACCCCAGGTCCCCGGCCCCTCCTCCCTCAGACCCAGGAGTCCAGGCCCCCAACTCCTCCACTCTCAGACCCAGGAGTCCAGACCTCCAGCCCCTCCCCTCCTCCCTCAGACCCGGGAGTCCAGACCCCCAGCCCTCTTCCTTCAGACCCAGGAGTCCAGACCCCCAGCCCCTCCTCCTTCAGACCCTAGAATCCAGCCTCCAGCCCCTCCTCCCTCAGAAGACCCAGGAGTCCAGGTACTCAGCCCCTCCTGCCACAGACCCAGGAGTCCAGGTCCCCAGCCCCTCCTTCCCAGCACCCACAGGGTTCAAGCCCTGATCCCCTCTCCCAAGATCCAAGAGTCCAGACCTCCAGACTTTTTCTCTCCAAGGACCCAGGGAGTCCAAGTCCCAACCCTCACCTAGACGCAGGAGTCCAGGGTTCCAACCTCCTCGTCTCAGATCCAGCAGTACAAACCCCTAGCCTTCTCCTCTCTCGGGATGCACCGGTGCAAACCTCAGCCCATAAAAGGGTTCTAAGGTAAAGCTGCTGCAAGAACTACAACCCCCATCAGCCCTCAAAGTAAAAGGTCATATGTTTGCACACAAATGTAGATGCAGTGTCTTCTGGGATTCGCAGTTTTTCACAAGGGCTCAGCCACTTACCCCTCTCTCTGCTCCAATTCCATCTCCGCGAGCTCCGGGAGCCCCGCGCCTCACAACTTCCAACCTCTCAAATCTCTATGTTAAGCCGTTCCCAAAACTACTTGTCCCATCAGGCCCCGCGGCCGAGGACGGCGGGACGTGGCTCTAGACCTTATGGGAGTTGTAGTTTCTTGTTTCCGGCTTCGCTTCCGCCAACCCCCACGTCCACCGCGAATCCCTACTTAAAGGCCTTGCGTTCTCATCTGAGGCCGCAACCAGTCCTCTGAGTTGCCACAGTCTTTCTTCTTGTCTCGATGCCCCGTCGTCCAGCCACAGCGATTCACCGCTTAGCAGGATCGGTCCACAGCGGGCCGTGAGTCTGATTAGCCCCTCTCCTTGCTGCTTACCGCCTCTCTCCGCCTAGCGCCAGGTGCTAATAAAGTTGTTGTTCCAAACGCGGCCAGGAACGTCGCGAACGGGGACCAATCAGAGATCAGCTTTCCCTCGATAACGGCGCGAGTGTGAAACGTCATCGGTGAGCGACGAGCGCTCTGGAAGCTTATTTCTTAGAAACCGTGGTGCGCAGGGAGGAGAGGTGAGTGTGGTAGAAACGAGGAGAGGGCGGGAGGCCAGACTCCTGGGTCTGGGAGAAGACGTGAGGAGAAAGGCGGACCTTTACAGTTTGTTTGTTTTTTTTCTTGAGACGGAGTCTCACTCTGTTGCCCCGGCTGAGCGCAGTGGCGCGATCTCGGCTCACTGCAACCTCCGCCTCCCGGGTTCAAGCAGTTTCCTGCCTCAGCCTCCCGAGTAGCTGGGATAACAGGCGCACGGCACCACGCGCAGCTAATTTTTGTATTTTTAGTAGAGACGGGGTTTCCCCATGTTGGTCAGGCTGGTGTCGAACTCCTGACCCCAGGTGATCCTCCCACCTCGGCCTCCCAAAGTGCTGGGATTACAGGCGCGAGACACCGAGCCTGGCCTCTTACAGCTAGTTTACCCAAAAGTCTTAATATGCGCCTACCATGGTGTGGCCCTGGGGATGTGGCAGGAGCAAACATTGTTCCCTGCCCTGTTAGAGCTTTGGTTGATGCCTGGCAGACAGGCTTTATCAAGTAATTGTTTCATTAATCACACATGTGTGAAGTGCGTTACTGTAGACACACACAGCGTGTGGGACGCGTATGACAAAGCAACCTCCTCTAGTCCAATTGGGGCGCCTGGGCCAGGGAGGTGGAATGTGAGAGCTGAAGGCTGAGGAGATGCTGGGCTCCTAGGGAGTGAGGAGAGCCAGGTGCAGTGGCTCACTCCTGTAATTTCAGCCCTTTAGGAGACTAGGCGAAAGGATCATTTGAGCCCAGGAGTTTGAGACCAGCCTGGGCAACACACTGAGACTCTATCTCTACAGAAAAATTTAAAACTTAGCTGGGCATGGTGGTGTGTGCCTGTCATCTCAGCTATCAGGAGGCTATGGGGGAGAATCGCTTGGGCCCAGGAGGTGGCTGCAGGGCTATGATGGTGCCACTGCACGTTAGCCTGGGTGAAGAGCAAGACAGTGTCTCAAAAAAAAAAGTCTGGGTGTGGTGGCTCACGCCTGTAATCGCAGCACTTTGGGAGGCTGAGGTGGGTGGATTGCCTGAGCTCAGGAGTTTGAGACCAGCCTGGGCAACATGGTGAAACCCCATCTCTACTAAAATACAAAAAATTAGCTGGGCATGGCAGTGTGCGCCTGTAATCCCAGCTACTTGGGAGGCTGAGACAGGAGAACTGCTTGAACCGGGAGGCAGAGGCTGCACTGAGCCAAGATCGTGCCACTGTGCTCCAGCCTGGGCAACAGAGCAAGACTCCATCTCAGAAGAAAAAAAGAAAAGAAAGAAAAAGTGAAGAGAAGAGCCTCTTTGGGGTTGCAGAGGACTCCCTGTGCAAAGACCTGGAGGGGGGAAGACATTGATGATGTAACCAACTCAAGTTTCTGCTACTCACAGGCCAGACTAGGAGAAGAGAGGGGTGGTGAAAGTGAAGGAGCTTTATTGATCAAATGCTAGCAGATGGGAAATGGCCAAGCTAATGCCGGGAGTGGTGGCGCATGCCTATAATCCCAGCTACTCGGGAGGCTGAGGAAGGAGAATCACTTGAACCTGGGAGGCGGAGGTTTCGGTGAGCCAAGATCGCGTCACTGCACTACAGCCTGGGCAACAAGAGGGAAATTCTGTCTCAAAACAAACAAGCAAAAAACCAAAAAGTTAGCCAGGCATGGTGGCAGGTGCCTGTAGTCCCAGCTACTCAGAAAGCTGAGGCAGAAGAATCTCTTGAACCTGGAGGTGAAGGCTGCAGTGAGCTGATATTGTGCCCCTGCACTCCAGCCTGGGCGACACAGCGAGACTCCATCTTTAAAAAATAAATGAAGATTAGCTCCTGGAACTTGCAAGTAAGCACATAGATAAGCTAGTGCAAGAGAGCGTCCAGCGGGAAAGGAGGGAACAGTTTCAAAGTATGTTTTCTTTCTTTTTTTTGAGATGGAGTTTCGCTCTTGTTACCCAGGCTGGAGTGCAATGGTGCGATCTTGGCTCACCGCAACCTCCGCCTCCTGGGTTCAGGTAATTCTCCTGCCTCAGCCTCCTGAGTAGCTGGGATTACAGGCACACGCCACCGTGCCCAGCTAATTTTTTTGTATTTTTAGTAGTGACGGGGTTTCACCATGTTGACCAGGATGGTCTTGATCTGTTGACCTCGTGATCCACCCGCCTCGGCCTCCCAAAGTGCTGGGATTACAGGCGTGAGCCACTGCGCCCGGCCAAAGTATGTTTTCAAGGCTAAAAGCAAGAAAGGAAAAAAAAAAAGTTTCAAAATGCATTTGGAATCTAAGCCACTTGATGACAGGAAGTCTTAGCAGGGTGGAGGTCGCAGGGATATAAAGCCGCTGTCAGTGTGGAGCCTGTGTGCTGGTGGGATTGGGAAAGAAGGCCAGGGCCTTCTGGGGGAGAATTTCCTCAGTGATAAGGAGGGACTTGTTGGGGCAAGTGTTTAGGGAACCCTACTCTCCCTCTCCACAGGCCTCGGGATGTCTCTAGCAGATGAGCTCTTAGCTGATCTCGAAGAGGCAGCAGAAGAGGAGGAAGGAGGCAGCTATGGGGAGGAGGAAGAGGAGCCAGCGATCGAGGATGTGCAGGAGGAGACACAGCTGGATCTTTCCGGGGATTCGGTCAAGACCATCGCCAAGCTATGGGACAGTAAGATGGTAAGAGGACAAGAGGCATGGATAGCAGGGGGCTCTAAACAATCTCCCAGAAAGAGGCGATACAGGCTTCTTTTTGAAGAGTCCTGGATTCCGACTCTCCTCCTTCCCTGCAGTTTGCTGAGATCATGATGAAGATTGAGGAGTACATCAGCAAGCAAGCCAAAGCTTCCGAAGGTACTTCCTCCCCCTTCGTGCCCCTCCCCATCTCCTGACTCTTCTGCCAGGCCCCTTGGCTCCTTTGCTGCTTGTGGCTGGGTATATCTCCCTCTCAGAGTTTTCCAGAGCCTTCTCTTTTTTTTTATTCCTCCCCAACCCATTCCCTTTTCCAGTAAACATAAATTGCTTCGTACAGCGCATCTTCTTAAGTCCTCACTGTGTCCTGAGTTTGCTAATCACGATGGGACTTAGCTTGAGTTTTCCCAGACTCCCAGATTCACATGACCAGTTACAGGGTTTTGGCCACATCTAGAAGCCACTTGTCCTTTAATTGCTTAACATATTCTTTGAGTCTAGGTCTTTTTTCTTAAATTTGATCTACAAAGGAAGCAAACTGCTGCCATGAATGGGAAACTGGCATCACTTGGTAAAGACGAAGTCACCATGTGAAAATAAATACGTGATTATTAGAGCATCATCTAAAAGCTTTTCTCACTTCCACATTTCGGGAACACTGGCTTATCTCTTGAGTAGTCAGACTGTCTTAGAGGGCAGTTCTGTTACCACTCCCATTCTCTCTCTTTTTTATTTTTTCCTTTCGACAGAGTCTCACTCTCTCGCCCAGGCTGGAGTGCAGTGGTATGATCTTGGCTCATTGCAACCTCCACCTCCCAGGTTCAAGCGATTCTCCTGCCTCCGCCTCCCGAGTAGCTGGGATTACAGGCATGCAACACCATGTCTGGCTATTTTGTATTTTTTTTAGTATAGACAGGGTGTTTCACCATGTTGGTCAGGCTGGTCTTGAACCTCTGACCTCAAGTGACCAGCCCACCTCGGCCTCCCAAAGTGCCAGGATTACAGGCATGAGCCACTGCTCCTGGCCTTCCCATTCATCTTGAATGAAATTTCCTGACAACAGGAAGCCATGGGAGGTTGCTGGGCAAAGACGTGTGTGAGAAAGCAGAGTTTCAGGAGACCCACTGCCTGCTGTCTTTAATGTTTACCTGGGCACCCAGTGGAAACCCCCAGGTCTGTGCTCTAATGTGCTCAAGGTCTGGTGGAAGAGGCAGGCCAAATTCCAGACAGCTGTCAGTGGGTGATACCAAGCTGGGGCCACTGGAGCCACAGGAGGGACTGGCTGACCCTCCCCCAGGGGTCAGGGAAGAATTGATGGCTGAACTGGACTCTAGAGCATGAATGCATACGCCAGGGGAAGAAAGGGAGGAAGGGGCCTGGGAAAGAAAAGGGGGCTGGGAAAGAAAGCGGCACGCCCAGGGCCTCAGACACGAGGAGTGAGAGGGCGGTCTCAGGAATGTGCCAGATCCTGCAGGGTTCCAGATGCCAGGCCGGGGAACTTCTCCATCCAGAGAGTTATGGGACACAGAAGGTGACATTTCCTGATGTCAGGCCAGGAGCAGGGATGAGTCAGATCCCGTCATACACGGTGTCTGGTTGGAGAGGTAGTCATGAAACATCTCACAAGCAGGTGGCAGTTCCTGTTTATTGGAGGCACAAGTGCTGCAGGTACCCAGAGAAGGCATCTGATCGTTCCGGAAAGGGAGGGAACGGTTCTGAGTCGCTGCCTGAGTCTTAAGCACCACAAGAGCCATTTGCATCAGGGTTAGGAGCACAGACTCTGCAGCCACCCTGCCTGGGGTCAGATTTGAGCTCTGTGACATCAGGCAGTGAGTGTATGACATTTAAACACAGCATCACTTTTTGTTTGTTTTTTTGAGACAGGGTCTCACTCTGACACTAGGTGAGAATGCAGTGGCATGAACGCAGCTCACTGCAGCCCTGACCTTCTGGGTTCTGGGTTCCGGTGTTCCTGCCTCAGCCTCCCAGGTAGCTAGGACCACAGGCATACACCACCATGCCTGGCTCATTTTTTTTCTTTAATTATCTGTAGAGATGGGATCCCCTGTGTCGCCCAGTTTGCTCTGAAACACCTGGGCTCAAGCAGTTCTCCAGCCTGCGCCTCCCAAAGTGCTGGGATTACAGGTGTGAGCCACTGTGCCTGGCCCCTTATAACCAAAGCACAAAGGGTTTTCTGGAAACAGACGTGGGGAGACGGAACAGCATATGCAGAGGCCAGGAGGGGCCAGATGCAGTGGGTCACCCCTGTAACCCCACCACTGTGGGGGGCCAAGGCGGGCGGATCACCTGAGGTTGGGAGTTCGAGACCAACCTGGCCAACATGGTGAAACCCCATCTCTACTAAAAATACCCCCAAAAATTTAGCTGGGCATGGTGGCACATGCCTGTAATTCCACCTACTGAGGAGGCCCAGGCAGAATTGCTTGAACCTGGGAGGCGGAAGTTGCAGTGAGCCGAGATGGTGCTCTGTAGCCTGGGCAACAAGAGCGAAACTCCGAGAAAAAAAAAAAGGCCAGGAGGAGTGGGTGTCCAGGGCACTGCAATCAGTCCTTTGTGGCTGGAGTGGAATACAATGGGGTATGATGAGAGGGAGGGGTGGGAAGTGTAGAAGCTAGACCGCAGAGTTGCTGAGTCAGCAGACAGGAACTGGACAGCTCCCTGTATGCCAGGTGCTCTTCTGGGTACTCGGGTGTGGGTGTAGACCATGCAGGCACAGCACTGGTCCCTGCAGAACTTCCGGTGTTGGGGACACCATGACTATCAGTCTGGGAAGCTTGGTCATGAGTGTCATGAGCCTTAGGGCTGTGGGAAGCCATAGGAGGTTCAATTCCAGGGTAGAGGGGTCAAGTCTAGACTGGTCTGGAGGGAGAGAGATGGGAGGCAGGGACACAAGATCAGGGACTCTGCAGACATCAGCCTGTCCCCCGGTTTACTCTTCAGCCCCCCCCTTCCTGACCCCCTCGAAACCTTGTCCTCCATCTCCCCCAGCTTTGGGACCCAGGATAGGGTAGGGATTTAGATCCTCACACTCCGCTCTGTGTCCTCACAGTGATGGGGCCAGTGGAGGCAGCCCCTGAATACCGCGTCATTGTGGATGCCAACAACCTGACCGTGGAGATCGAAAACGAGCTGAGTGAGTGCTGGGGGGAGGCGGACGCAGCTCCGTGTGACACCCTCATGCCCGTCTCCCTTCCCCACTGGCCTTTCCCAGGGTCCTGCCCCTGAGCCCATGCTCAAATCCAGGTCCACCTGCTGTAACAGTGGTTTGAAGAAGAAGGAAGTTTGTTCTCCTCTTATGTGTGAGTCTGAGCGAGCACTTGGGGGTGGTGTGGCCCCAGCTCTTTCCATCTTGTTGTTCAGCCACTGGTTCACGGTGCAAGGTGGCTGTCCCACCTCCAGCCATCACCTCTGCATTTCCACCAGCAAGGCGCTTCTTATTCTTAAGAACGTGTCACCACAGCTCAGCTCACATCTTACAGAGCAGAACAAATTCCCGTGGTCATACGTAAAGGAAGAAGGGGAAATGGGTGTTAGGGCAACCAGCAGACTCTACCTCCTGTCTTACCCAAGACCACCTGTCCTGTCCACCCTAGACATCATCCATAAGTTCATCCGGGATAAGTACTCGAAGAGATTCCCTGAACTGGAGTCCTTGGTCCCCAATGCACTGGATTACATCCGCACGGTCAAGGTGAGCGCCAAGAAGGCGGGGTGCTTGGGAAGAACTGTGGCTTCTTGCCCGACTTCTGCCGGTGTGAAGGGGCAGGTGGGGCTCACTCTTGAACCTGCTCCCAGAGGCCTCGGGGTCTGGAGATGATGGAAGGAGTGGACGGTGGCTTAGCGGCCTGCTCTGCCCAGCGTGGGAGGGACAGAAGCTGGACGGGACTTCCTCAGGGCTCCCCTCCTGCCCCGGTCTCCCAAGAGGGCTTCCCCTCTGGCCTGACCCGTGCTGCTCCCACTGTGGTTAGAGCCGGCGGCATTGGAGTTGAGATCCAAAGGTTGACATGGGACGGGCACGCGGAGATTTGGGGGAGAGAGACGTTTAAGTGCAGAGAGCCTGAGAGGGAACAAGCTGGGAGGGAGTGAGGTGGGGAAGAGGGAAGTGGAAGAGGTCGGATTGCGTTGGGCCTCTGGGTCTTATGAGAGATCCAAGGAAGGGTTTAGGGAAAGAGGGGCAGGTGCACGTGAGGCAGGGAGAGGAGGAGGTCCCCACACATGTCCAGGGAAAGATTAGGATGGTGTAAAGCCACAGCCCTAAGGAGTCGTGGGGCGTCCCCTACAGCTGTGTGCAGGATCCGAGAAGTAGAGACAGGACACAGAAAGACTGGAAAAGACAGCTGGGCTCGGGGGCCACGCCACTTATGAGCGGAGACAGGTGAGGCCCCGAACGCCCAGAAGCGTCTGTATTAGGTACAGGGCAGGGAGAAGGGTCGTGAGTGAGGTCACTATAGGTTTAATGATAAGGCATACATAATCAAGCGAGGGGGCCACCCCATAAGGCCACCTAGTCAGAGAGGTGGGCCGCGCGCAGTAGTAGAGGGTCATGTACAGAAAAGGGGTCCACTCCCATTAGGTCACCGAGGCAAGGAGGTGGACTGTGTGCAACAGGTGTCAGATGCAACACTTCTTATCTGGGGGCTGGAGACTTCAGAGGATTTCTAATAGAAGGATACTGTAAGCCAATGCAGTGGGAGCTGACAGACTTCTGCTCTTCTCGAAGATATTTTGTGGGAGGATGATTTGAGCTGACAGGCTGACAGGGTGTACAGCTGCCGTGACCCGGTCACACCCGAGGGGTTCTTCTCCCTCGGTTATTTGTGGGATCTCAGGCCTGAGGCCTACTTTCCACAGGAACTGGATGCAAGGTACTACCACTCCTTTTTCAGGAGGAGAGGCTCTTGCTCCAAGCCTGCCACACAGCATATGCCCTTTCAGGCAGGGACGCCACCACTGGGTCTTTGGTTCGTGTCCTCGTCTGGCTGTTTTCCCATGTACTGCTTCTGTTCTGTGACTGCTCTAGGCATTCCTCCTACTACAAACTACTATATGGTTATATAGAAATATTATATAAATCATCACTAAATGTGTTGGTACAGCTCCGACTACGATATCTACGTGATTATAGAGAATATATATATATATGGCTATATAGACTATAATATTTACATGACTACATAAAAAGATCATAAGGAACTAAGTATGCTAGACATAAGTAGTAAGTATGATTTTATATGCTAGATATAGGTAAGCAGTAAGTTATACTTCAGGCACTAATTGTTCTGACTGTAAACTCATACACGATTACATATAAAGGATTATATAAAGGAAATAGCTGAATAATAACACTATAAACTAAGACATTGTTCAGGCACTAATTGTGCCTGGGGTTTGCACAGCTCTCCTTCCTTGGTACCCATGTTGGGGGTTACCCACTGGACAGTGGTGGGGAAAGCCCCTGCAGGGAAGTGAGGCCACCGGATCAGTGCTCCCACTTGTCATGGGCCAGAGGCTTGTGAGGCCTCGGTCTCCCAGATGCCACTGTGCCCAGGCTCCATTTCCAGGTCAGCCAAAGCAGAGCAGAGAGTGTGGATGCTTCGGGTGGCAGAGGCAGGAGAGGCCCCCAGTGTAGAGACCCTCAGTGTAGACACCCTGACTTTCCCAGTGTCCCCAAGACAAGACCTGAATAGGTGCTGAGCAAGAGGTTCTCCAGCCCTCCTGAGCCCAAGCCTCCCTGTCTCTCTGCTCGCCCCCAGGAGCTGGGCAACAGCCTGGACAAGTGCAAGAACAATGAGAACCTGCAGCAGATCCTCACCAATGCCACCATCATGGTCGTCAGTGTCACTGCCTCCACCACTCAGGGGTATGTCCGCTGCGAGGGAGGACTGGGCCCGGGCTAGGGGGACTGCGGATTAGGCCGAAGCTACACACGCAGATGTGCATACAGGCACAAACACACACAGAACTGAGAGGGCGGGACTGGGGATTAGGCTGAAGCTACACATGCAGATGTGCACGCACACACACACACAACTGAGAGGGCGGGACTGGGGATTAGGCTGAAGCTACACATGCAGATGTGCACACACACACACACACAACTGAGGGCGGGACTGGGGATTAGGCTGAAGCTACACATGCAGATGTGCACACACACACGCAACTGAGAGGGCGGGACTGGGGATTAGGCTGAAGCTACACATGCAGATGTGCACACACACACACACACAACTGAGAGGGCGGGACTGGGGATTAGGCTGAAGCTACACACGCAGATGTGCACACACACACACACACAACTGAGAGGGTGGGACTGGGGATTAGGCTGAAGCTACACACACAGATGTGCACGCACACACACACACAACTGAGAGGGTGGGACTGGGGATTAGGCTGAAGCTACACACACAGATGTGCACGCACACACACACACACACAACTGAGAGGGTGGGACTGGGGATTAGGCTGAAGCTACACACGCAGATGTGTACACACACACACACACAGAACTGAGAGGGCGGGACTGGGGATTAGGCTGAAACTACACATGCAGATGTGCACACACACACACACAGGGTGGGGGCTGGGCACCAGGCAGGCAGGAGACCCAGGAGGCTGGGCCCACTTGCCCCTGCAGGCAGCAGCTGTCGGAGGAGGAGCTGGAGCGCCTGGAGGAGGCCTGTGACATGGCCCTGGAGCTGAATGCCTCCAAGCACCGCATCTACGAGTACGTGGAGTCCCGAATGTCCTTCATAGCGCCCAACCTGTCCATCATCATCGGGGCATCCACGGCTGCCAAGATCATGGGTGAGGCCCCGGGGCTGGGTCCCATGGCGGGGATGGGGAGGCGTCTGCTGACACTGTGGCCTTGGGAAAGCTGCATCCCTTTTCTTTGGAGGGGGGGCTTTGGCACCTAGGCCTCAGCACCTGGTCTCCCTGGACATCACAGAGGTCAGCCAGCCTGGCACATAGCAAAGCCCTGTCCGTGGGAAAAACACTCACCTACAGCTCCTCCTGCAGCCCTCTGCCAGAAACCCAGAGCTGACCACACCCAGGCCGTTGTCAGGGAGCTTCTGGTTTGGTGAATATGGTTCACAGACATCTCTGGAATGGGGCAGTGTGGCCTATGTAGCACAAATGAGGTGGTTGGCTTCCTGTCTAGTGCCTCCTCCCTGCACCCCAGACCAGCTGCCCTCCCTTTCCCAGCCTCCTTTGCATCTGTTCCTCGTGGAATGAGCCAGGTCCCCCTCCTGACAGGGCCACTGAGGGGTCCAACCAGAGCTTCATGTAAAGGCGCCCGGCACACGGTGATCCCCCTGCAGATTCGCGCACGCCCACCTCTCCGCTTTCTTCTGACTGCTCCCTCTTCCCTCCCCTGCAGGTGTGGCCGGCGGCCTGACCAACCTCTCCAAGATGCCCGCCTGCAACATCATGCTGCTCGGGGCCCAGCGCAAGACACTGTCGGGCTTCTCATCCACCTCAGTGCTGCCCCATACCGGCTACATCTACCACAGCGACATCGTGCAGTCCCTGCCCCCGGTGAGCCCACAGTGTCATTGCCTGCCCCTGGCTCCCCTGGAACTTTCCACTGTGCCCAGACAGCCTAGAAGCCACCCCTACCATCTGACAGTAGCACTCAGGGGATGGGAACAGGGTGGCACGGGGCGTGAGAGCCAGGACTCTGCAGTCCACCAGCTCTGGTGCCCAGGCTCTGGCAGCGCCACCCACCAATCAGTGACCGTGGGCAAGAGGCGTGAGCGCCCTGTGCCTCAGTCTCCCCCCATCAGACGGGAGCACAGCACCTGCTTCATGAGTTAGGACGAGGGCTCAATGCAGATGAAGCCCTTCCAAGTCAGGCCTAGCTCACGACAAGCAGCGTCGGGTTAGCGTGCAGCTGCTCCAAAGACCACCCTCAGGTCTAACCGTTCACTAGAAAGACTCATAGAACCCCCTGAGGACTGCTGTGCTGGGGACTTAGTTTATAACAGTTTAACATCAGCCATGGGGACACACAGGAGGGGCAGGAGAGGTCAGTGCCCCTGGAGCTTCCCAGGTCCTCTCTGCCATCAGGGTACATCAGCCTCCCAGCTTTGATGCCTGGCAGCACATACACAGACCTAGAACACAAGCAGGAGGCCAGGCGCGGAGGCTCATGCCTGTAATTCCAGTACTTTGGGAGGCCGTGGCTGGGCTGGTGGATCACCTGAGGTCAGCAGTTCAAGACCAGCCTGGCCAACATGGTGAAACCCCGTCTCTCCTAAAAATACAAAAAGTAGCCAGGCCTGGTGGTCGGGTGCCTGTAATCCCAGCTACTTGGGAGACTTAGGCAGGAGAATCGCTTGAACCTGGGAGGCAGTTTGCAATGAGCTGAGATTGCACCACTAGACTCCAGTCTAGGTGACAGAGTGAGTCTCTGTCTCAAAAAAAAAAAAAAAAATTAGCTGGGCATGGTGACGGGAGCCTGTAATCCTAGCTATTTGGAAGACTGAGACAGGAGAATCACTTGAACCTGGGAGGTAGAGGCTGCACTGAGCCGACGTTGCGCCACTGCACTCCAGCCTGGGTGACAGAGCTAGACTGCATCTCAAAAAAAAAAAAAAAAAATGCCGGCACTGTGGCCTACACCTGTGATCCCAGCACTTTGGGAGGCAGAGGCAGGTGGATGACTGGAGATCAGGAGTTTGAGACCAGCCTGGCCAACATGGTGAAACCTCATCTCTACTAAAATATTACAAAATTAGTCAGGTGTGGTGGCACATACTTGTAATCCCAGCTGCTTGGGAAGCTGAGGCAGGAGAATTGCTTGAACCCAGGAGGTGGAGGTTGCAGTGAGCCAAGATCACACACTGCATTCCAGCCTGAGCGATAAAGTAAGACTCCCATCTCAAAAAAAAAACAAAAACAGGCAGGACAGGCTCTGGGGCAGACAGGCCTGGGTCCAGATCCTGCTCTGTCCGGTTGCAGCAAGTGACCTCAGGCTCATGGCCCTGTGCCCTGCCCGGCCTCCCTCGGGGTCGCAGAGAACAACAGCACCGATGGCCAAGGCCCCACTCCTGCCCTGTGTGGGGTTGTTGTTTTGGTCTTTTCTGTGACCCTTTAGGTCAGGCACTGCTATTGGAACACACCCCCAGGGGTGCTGGTGGGTCACCCCATCCTGGGAGAAGGGAGAGTGGGCTTTAGAACCCAGGAGTGGTGGGCCTGAGGCTCGGGGCTCCAGCCACCTCATAAGGCCATCACCACTGCCTCACAGCCCTAGGCTGTGGGTTAAACCTGCCCCAGGGAGCCTGGTGTCTTGTCACACAGGGCCTCTGCCGCCTCATCTTCCCATCCCAGATCGGTCCAGGCACAGGATGTAGACATCACAGGCCTGTAAGGGAGGCCAGGGCTGGCCATCGCGTCGCTGTGGCTGAGAGCTGGGGCTCTGTTTGCAGTCTGGATCGGAACCCTGGCTCCATCACCTCCCGGCTGTGTCGCTAGCGATGTGACTTGGAGCCTTGGTGTCCACACCTGAAAAGGGGGTGCAGTGATCACAGCAGCCCGATGTTTGAGTATTCGATGAGATGGCCCAAAGGGCACACTTAGCACGGAGCTGGTATCCAGGCTGAGTGCACTCCCAGCTGGTGTGCTTACCTGACTCTGCCGCTCACCAGCCCAGACGTGGCTCTGCACCCTGCCCTCATCCCCTCTTCTGTGAAGAGGGAGCTAAGAGCATACACCTCTAGAGCCTGCAGTGGAGCCAGATGAGAAGCACCCACTGTTGGTGTGCAGTTATGTCTGTCTGTCTGTCTCACACAGATTCCATTCCCGTTTTCCATTGCTCCAGGATCTCCGGCGGAAAGCGGCCCGGCTGGTGGCTGCTAAGTGCACGCTGGCAGCCCGCGTAGACAGTTTCCATGAGAGCACGGAGGGGAAGGTGAGGAGGGGAAGGAGGGGGCGGCCGGGCGTCCTTTCCTCTGGGCCTGGGGTGTCTGTGCGGGGAGAGCCCCAGCAGGGAGCTCACCCCAACAAGCACTGTCCTACCAGGGCAGAGGCAGTGTTTCTGCTGACCCTCCCTGGGGTCAGGCGCCCCTTCCCCAGTGTGTTCATTCCCTAGGGCTGCTATAGGAAGGTAGCACAAACCTACTGGCTTAAAACAGCACAGGTTTGGCTGGGCAAGTTGGCTCATGCCTGTAATCCCAGCACTTTGGGAGGCCAAGGCAGGCAGATCACAAGGTCAGGAGTTCGAGACCAGCCTGGCCAACATGGTGAAACCACGTCTCTATTATAGATACAAAAATTAGTCAGGCATGGGGTGCGCACCTGTAATCCCAGTTACTCTGGAAATAGGCAGGAGAATCGCTTAGACCCAGGAGGCAGAGGTTGCAGTGAGCTGAGATTCCACTATTGCACTCCAGCCTGGGTGACAGAGTGAGACTCCATCTAAAAAAACCAGCACAGGTTTACCATCTGTAGGTCGGAAGTCCAAAATGGGTTTCATTGGGCTGAAGTCAGGGTGTCAGCCCAGAGGCTTCCTTCTGGGGGACTCCTTGCCTTTTCCAGCTGCTAGGGGTCGCCGGCATCCCTTAGCTCGTGGCCCTTCTTCCTTTGCGAGCCAGCTGCGCGGCACCCTCAGACCTATCTCACCCTGCTTCTGTCTTCAGATCTTGGCCTCTGTCTTTCCCCATCTATTTTAAGGGCCCTTGTGGCTATACTGAGCCTGCTCACATGGTCCAGGATAGTCTTCCGAGCTCACACTCCTTAAACTCCTTAACCTCTTCACGTCCCTTTTGCCCTGAGGTGACATTCACAGGTTCTGGGAGTTAGAACACGGACCTCCTGGGGCATGTGTGTGTTGGTGGGGGCATAGTTTGCCTTCCGCACCAGGATCTGTCCCCCTCCAACAGGGGATACTATTCAAGTAATTATTCAGTTCACTTCTGTCTCCTTGGTAGATGTACTCGGGAGAGGAGACATGTTTTCTGTCTTGTGAACTGTTGCTTGCCAAGCACCCCGCCTGGCTCGGCAATCAGGTGTTCCATCTCCCCCTCCTCCTTTCCCTCTCTCCGTCTCACCCCCGGCCTGGGTGTAGGGAATGCAGCTGTGAGTAGCGCAGACAGAGCCCTGTCCCATGGCGTGGATACTCTCACTGGGGCCGGGTTGGGAGACAGTCCACAGGGGCAATCTGTCCTGTGCCTAGTAGGACTAGGTAAACATCAAGAAGAAAAACGCGGCCGGGCGCAGTGGCTCACGCCTGTAATCCCAGCACTTTGGGAGGCCGAGGCGGGTGGATCACGAGGTCAAGAGATCGAGACCATCCTGGCCATGGTGAAACCCCGTCTCTACTAAAAATACAAAAATTAGCTGGGCGTGGTGGCACGCGCCTGTGGTCCCAGCTACTCGGGAGGCTGAGGCGGAAGAATCGCTTGAAATCAGGCAGAGGTTGCAGTGAGCTGAGATTGCGCCACTGCGCTCCAGCCTGGTGACAGAGTAAGACTCCATCTCAAAAAAAAAAAAAGAAGAAAAAGGCAGGTGATTGGGGTGGGGAGACATTAGGTGCTGGTTTAACTGGAAGTCGGGGGGACTTAGAGCTCTGAGGAGGTGAGGGTTTAACACAGACCTGAATGAAGTCAGGGAGCAAGGCACGTGGGTTCTCTGGAGAGAGTCTTCCCAGTACGGGTAGTGGTCGGTCGGTGCAAAGGCCCTGAGGCAGGAGCGCCAAGAGCCCTGGAGGAGAGAGGGAGGCCCTGGTGGAGCCTTGTGCGCCCCGAGGAGAACTCTGGCGGCAGCGGAGGGCCTGGGGGGCCAGTTTGGAATTGTTCTGAAAGATCTGGGATCTGCGGTGCGGAGAGGAACAGTGGAGTCGGCTGCCGGCTCTCAGAGTTGCTGATCGCTTACCCGAGGAGAATGAAGGTGGAGGGTGGAAGGCTGGGGAGGAGGAGCAGGAATTCTGCTTGGCCCTGGTACATTTGAAGGGCTGTTAACAATCCCAGTGTCAAGTAGACAGTTGTTTACAGGGTACAGAACCCAGAGGAGGGGTCTGAGCCAAGATGAGGGCATCAGATTGTAGACAGATCTGAAAACCCAGAGAGCAGATGAGATCCTCCGGGGCCCCGGAGCAAGGAAGGAGCGCTGGGGTGAGCAGTCTGCTCGGGTGGACAGGCAGAGGACAGGCAGACAGCAGACACAGGAGGCCTGGGTGGGCAGCCCACGTGAGCAGCAGCAGGACCCACCCCTTGCTCTCACCCTCCCTAGGTGGGCTACGAACTCAAGGACGAGATCGAGCGCAAGTTTGACAAGTGGCAGGAGCCGCCGCCTGTGAAGCAGGTGAAACCACTGCCTGCGCCCCTGGATGGGCAGCGGAAGAAGCGAGGTGGCCGCAGGTGAGAGCCCCTGGGGGTCCAGTAGGCATGGGGGTCGTGGAGTGGAGGAGCCGGTGTCCCCCCAGCTGACTCCCTGGCACCGCCTGCCCACCCAGGTACCGCAAGATGAAGGAGCGGCTGGGGCTGACCGAGATCCGGAAACAGGCTAACCGCATGAGCTTCGGAGAGGTTAGATGCCCCTAGCGCTGAAGCCATGAGGAGAACTCACGGCCACAGGCAGCCGCCGCCGCCCCCTGCCTCCCACCGCCTTCCCTCCTCTCTGCCCTGTGGCCCTGGCTCATGTCTAGGGCACGATCCTGGCCTCTACTCTGGTTTCTATCCATTCAGCCCCAAAGTGACCCTTGTCACCCTCAGAGTCCCTGCTGCTTCCCATCACCCCAGGCTCCTCGGCCAGTTTCTCCTGCCCTCTGCACGGCCCCTCCCTCCGTGAGCCCCGTCTCCTCCGTTATCCCAGTGTCATCCCCTTGGTCCTGCAAGACCCAGCTCAGAGGCCACCTCATCCTGTGGAACCTGTTCTGGTTCCAGACACCCCCCAACCCACATGCATAAAGAAGGCCTCTCAACTCTGAGCTCACAGAGCAGCGCCGGGACCCAGCCCCTTTCAGGCTCCCCAGCATCCCCGGCTTGTAGGGGCCCCCAGGCCTCAGCTGGGCCGAGTGGGTACCCGAGCAGGTGCCCATGGGGCCAGCCAGCTGGTGACCGCGGGGCTTCTAGCTGGTGGAGGGGGTGCCTGAGTGGCTGGAGGGCGGGGTCTGGTCCCTGACGGCAGGGGCTTCCCTTTCCCCCTAGATCGAGGAGGACGCCTACCAGGAGGACCTGGGATTCAGCCTGGGCCACCTGGGCAAGTCGGGCAGTGGGCGCGTGCGGCAGACACAGGTCAACGAGGCCACCAAGGCCAGGATCTCCAAGACGCTGCAGGTATGTGCCGACCTGGGTGGGGCCAGGGACCGAGGGACGCAAGGTAGGGTGAGCCCAGATAACAGCCTCCCTGTCCTTCCCACAGCGGACCCTGCAGAAGCAGAGCGTGGTATATGGCGGGAAGTCCACCATCCGCGACCGCTCGTCGGGCACGGCCTCCAGCGTGGCTTTCACCCCACTCCAGGTACTTGCCCTGGGCCAGCTCTGTCCCCAGCCCCAAGATGCTGGCAAGGCCCCTTGCCCTCTGCCCCTGTGAACAGGCCACAATGAGTCCCCTTACAGGGCTGTCACGGGGGGTGTGGTGAAGACATGCCAAAGGCATCAGCAGCCCCTGGCACACAGCAAGTGCTCGAGGTTAGCAGAGACGAGAGGCGCACAACAGTCCTCATGAGCGGGGACCGGGGCTACATCCCAGGGACCCTGTTTTTCTCTGTGGGGCCATGAACGGGTTACATTGCTCAGCCTCTAGGACCTCAGTTTGAAATGGCTAGAGTGGTTAAGGTAACCTCAGGACCCCACTCGAAACAGTTCCCAGCTAGGTGGGCTTGGGTGTCACGTGTGGGTCTGGCCCCCAGCCCAGTCAGCAGTGAGTGGCTTGGAGCACGGCAGTCACCGCACCATCGGCACCGCGGTTTGCCATCCACAGAGCAGGGCGAGCCTGCACCGTGGCTGTGGGACAGTGGGGAGCTCATCTGCTCAGACAGCGGCTGTCGGTGCTCTCGGCTCTGGGGGTGAAGCGGTGAATGAGAGAGACAAGTCTTGCCTTCCTGGAGCCTGTGGGTGGCTGGGCACAGACAGATCAGTAAGATGCCCAGTGTGGTAAAAGGCAGAAATACCAGGGAGGGAAGGACGTGGGAGGTGGGACAGGGAGGCCTTCGTCCTAGCACAGCCAGGGAGGGCCTCACCTTTCCCTGCCTCCACTCCCATGTTATGAGGTGTTCAGTTCTGAAAAAGGAGTGCACAGAAGGCACTTGGTCCTGCACTTGCTGGTGGAGCCTGATGACAGGTCCTGTGCTTATTTTCTCTTTTCTTTCTTTTTTTTTTTTTTTTTTGAGACGGAGTCTGACTCTGTCGCCAGGCTGGAGTGCAGTGGTGCAATCTTGGCTCACTGCAACCTCCGCCTCCTGGATTCAAGCAATTCTCCTGCCTCAGCCTCCTGAGTAGCTGGGATTACAGGCGCCTGCCACCATACCCAGCTAATTTTTGTATTTTTATTAGGGACTGGGTCTCACCATGTTGGCCAGGATGATCTTGATCTCTTGACCTTGTGATCCACCCACCTTGGCCTCCCAAAGTGCTGGAATTACAGGCTTGAGCCACCGCGCCCAGCCTGTTATTATTTTCTTTAGAGACAGAGTCTCGCTCTGTTGCCCAGGCCTTGAAAATATTTAGGAAGTTCCAGCCAGGTGCCGGCGTCTATCGCTGGACACTGTGATCATCAGTAGTGTTGGTGTGATTTGTGCTGGGACCTCCAGCCAGCCACATCCCCCAGAGACTCAGTTTCCTCATCCAGAAACTGAGCAGGATTGGCTGTCCTCAGGCACTGGTGTTTTTAGCAGCCCCTGGGGAACTTGTTAAAAACCTAGGTGCCCTGGTTTCTCCCCACCCTCTCCCCCCAGACCCACTGAGGCAGAATCTTCCAAGGCAGGGCGACTCCAGGGACTGGCAAACTGTCCCATGCCCACCCAAGGCCTGAGTACCACGGGGAAAGGCCTGGGGGGCTCTGGCGTGTCAGTTGGGGCCTTCTCCTTGCCCAACACATCATCCTCTCTCCCTCACCTGCCTAGGGCCTGGAGATTGTGAACCCACAGGCCGCGGAGAAGAAGGTGGCTGAGGCCAATCAGAAGTATTTCTCCAGCATGGCAGAGTTCCTCAAGGTCAAGGGCGAGAAGAGTGGCCTCATGTCTACCTGAATGATAGCGTGTGCCCAACGTGGCTTCCCACTGAAGGGACGTTGAAGTCCAGGCCTTCTGAAGGGCTGGGATGGGGGTTAGGGGTTGTGGCAGGGAGAGCCTTCCCTGCCGCCCACCCGGTGCTCGACTGCCCAGGGAGGGGCCTCGGAAGAAGCCTGGCCCGGCCTCCTCCAGGATGGAGCTCACCGCCCTGGATGGGTTAGAGCAGGTCTTCATGCCTTGTCTTTTTTATTTTAACTGAGAAAGGAGATACTTTTTTGAAGAGAGTGCAATTAAAAAGCACATTATCAAGATCTGTCCTTGGGGAGTGATCATTTTTCAAACAGCTGGGGCAACTAGAATAGTCAGAGCTTCGGAGTTTGGGGAAAAGAGCTTCGCCTCCGGGGCTCACTCCCTCCCCTGTTCCTTTCTCACCAACCCCCTGGAGAACCTCAGTCGCTTTGATAGCAGACGGTGTGGCAGCCGACACCTGAAGATCTCAGTGCAGGCTGACCAAGGTTGCGCTGGCACCTCAGGCCGGTTGCCTCGCCTTTCCGAGCCTCCACAGCTACGCCCAGGCGCCCAGGGCTGGAAAGAACGCGCAGAAAGCACTTAGCACAGGGCTCGCGTCAGCACCCAATAACTGGGTCCTGTTACTGGTGTTTTTTAGAGATGAGGCCTCTGTCGCCCAGGCTGGAGTACAGTGATGTAATCATAGCTCACTACGGCCTCAAACTCCTGGTTTCAAGCTGGGATTACAGACGCATGCCACAGTTCCTGGTTAATTTTGAAACTTTTTATAGATGGGGTCGCACTCTTACCCAGGCTGGGCTTGAACTTCTGTGCTCAAGTGATCCTTCCACCTCAGCCTCCCTAAGTGTTGAGATTACAGGCTTCAGCCACTGCGTCTAGCCTCTTACTATATTTTATTTATTCATGTTTTTGAGATGGAGTCTCACTCTGTCGCCCAGGCTGGAGTGTGTGATTTCAGTTCACTGTGACCTCCACCTCCCAGGTCCAAGTGATTCTCTTGCCTCAGCCTCTTGGGTAGCTGGGATCAGGCACCTACCACCAAATTTTGTGGGGGTTTTTTGGTTGTTTGTTTTTTGAGACAGAGTCTCATTCTTTTTTTTTTTGAGACGGAGTTTCGCTCTTGTTACCCAGGCTGGAGTGCAATGGCTCAATCTCGGCTCACTGCAACCTCCGCCTCCTGGGTTCAGGCAATTCTCCTGCCTCAGCCTCCCGAGTAGCTGGGATTACAGGCATGCGCCACCATGCCCAGCTAATTTTTGTATTTTTAGTAGAGACGGTGTTTCACCTTGTTGACCAGGATAGTCTCGATCTCTTGACCTTGTGATCCACCCGTCTCAGCCTCCCAAAGTGCTGGGATTACAGGCGTGAGCCACTGTGCCTGGCACAGAGTCTCATTCTTGCCCAGGTTACAGTGCAGTGGCGAGATCTCAGCTCACTGCAACCTGTACCTCCCAGGTTCAAGCCATTCTGCTGCCTCAGCCTCCCCAGTAGCTGGACTAGAGGTGCCTGCCAGCATGCCTGGCTAATTTTGGTATTTTTAGTAGAGGTGGAGTTTTACCATATTGGCCGGGCTGGTCTTGAACTTCTGACCTCAAATGATCTGTGTGCCTCGGTCTCCCAAAGTGCTAGGGTTGCTGGTGTTAGCCACCGCACCTGCCCAGCCTCATTTATAACCAGTGTGAAGCGGCTGTGTGCAGCCCTGGCAAAGGGAAAGCGGGCAGGCTCCCTGCCCTGGTAGGACCTGGTTGCTGTGAAAGCTGCTGCCAGGTGAGCAGCAGGAGCACACCCGCCCTCCAGTCATGGAGTCTTGGTAACCGGGGCTCGGCCAGGGACACCTTTACTTGAGCTGAGGGGACTGTGGCCTGCAGACAGTCGGGAAAGGCTTTCCAGGAGAGGAGACAGCAGGGGCTGTCCTAGTGGGTGGCAGGAAACCGTGGTCTCCCTGGAAAGGTTAAGGAAGAGCAGCTCAAGGGGTTCCACTTACTCTGTGCTCCGGAGCTGGGCTTCACAGTGGTACTAAGGAGGCCCTCGTCACCTGAGCTATGAGGTCCAGGTCGGGGCGTCTGTTAGTTACCTAAGGCATGTTACCAGGGCAGGCAGCAGCCCTGGTGGCAAGATGATGCCTCCACGTCTCCACCTTCCCTCTCTCTCTCCACCTTTCCACAATTTCTCCCTCTTTCCATTTTCCCTCTCTCTACCTTCCCTCTCCCTTCCTCTCTCCACCTTCCCTCTCCCCACCTCCCCTCTCCCCACCTTCCCTCTCCCTCTCTCCTCCCTCTGTTCACCCTCCCTCTCTCCATCTTCCCTCTCCCTCCCTCTCTCCACCTTCCCTCTCCCTCCCTCTCCACCTTCCTTCTTCCTCTCTCCACCTTCCCTCTCCCTCCCTCTCCACCTTCCCTCTCCCTCCCTCTCCACCTTCCTTCTCCCTCCCTCTCCACCTTCCCTCTCCCTCCCTCTCCACCTTCCCTCTCTCTCCCTCTCTCCACCTTCCCTCTCCCTCCCTCTCCACCTTCCGTCTCTCCCTCTCTCCACCTTCCCTCTCTCTCCGTCTCCTCTCTCTCTCCACCTTCCCTCTCCCTCCCTGTCTCCTCCCTCTCTCCACCTTCCCTCTCCCTCCCTGTCTCCTCCCTCTCTCCACCTTCCCTCTCCCTCCCTGTCTCCTCCCTCTCTCCACCTTCCCTCTCCCTCCATCTCCTCCCTCTCTCCACCTTCCCTCTCCCTCCCTGTCTCCACCTTCCCTCTCCCTCCATCTCCTCCCTCTCTCCACCTTCCCTCTCCCTCCCTGTCTCCACCTTCCCTCTCCCTCTATCTCCTCCCTCTCTCCACCTTCCTATCTCTCTCTACCTTTTCTCCATCTCTCCACCTTCCCTCTCTCTCCCTCCCTCCGCCTCATGCTATCTGGGTCTCCCTCTGATTTCTAGGTCCTGTTTGAGATTTTGCTGTTTCTATTCCCCTCTCTGGGCCTCCCTGTCACCACTCTGTGCATCTCTAGATCCCTGTCCTTCCTTCAACCCAGAGCTCTGTCTCTGGACATCAGTGACAATCTCTGAATTTCTCTCCTCCCTCAAGTCAAAAAGTCATCATACCTGGGAGGCTCCTCTGAGTGGCCGAACTACCCCAGGATGCATAACTGAAGTCTGTTTCCTCAATTGTATCCCTGACCCTCTGAGTCAACCCCGTTTGGAAATGACAGCCTGGTCTGCCAGGGAAGGACTGGTGGTCCACAACACTGTTCAGAATCCCCCATCTCCCTCGGCCAAAATATCTGGCATCTACCAGTGGGGCTGTGGCATGAGGGTGTGAATGTCAGGAGAGGAATCTGAGTCACGTGGCCCTGCAGCCCTAGTGTGCTCAGAACAGAGGTTCTCAAAATTTAATACGCTTCAGAATTCTACAGAGGGCTTGTTAAAACATAGTTGCTGGGCCCAGAGTTTCTGATTCAGTCTAGGGTGGGGCTCAAAAATGTGCATTTCAAACAAGTTTCCAGGTGATGGGTATGTGGCTGATCCAAGGCCACATTTGAGAAGCTTTGCTCTAGAAAAGTATAAGTGGCCCTTAGGCCAGGTGCAGTGGCGCATGCCTGTAATCCTAGCTACTCAGGAGGCTGAGACAGGAGAATCACTTGAACCGGAAGGCAGAGGTGGCAGTGAACCAAGATTGCGCCACTGCACTCCAGCCTGGACCACAGAGTGAGACTCTGTCTAAAAAAGTAGGCCGGGCGTGGTGGCTCAAGCCTGTAATCCCAGTACTTTGGGAGGCCAAGGCGGGTGGATCATGAGGTCAAGAGACCGAGACCATCCTGGTCAACATGGTGAAACCCCGTCTCTACTAAAAATACAAAAACTAGCTGGGCATGGTGGTGCGCGCCTGTAGTCCCAGCTACTCGGGAGGCTGAGGCAGGAGAATTGCTTGAACCCCGGAGGCAGAGGTTGCGGTGAGCCGAGATTGCGCCATTGCACTCCATCCTGGGTAACAAGAGCGAAACTCCGTCTCAAAAAAATTAAAATAAAGTAAGTGGCTCTTGGTTAGCTGTGTGTTGGAATCATCAGGAGTTTGAAAAATTACTTAGTGGCGTGTGGTGATGCACATATGTAATCCCAGCTACTCGGAAGGCTGAGGCAGGAGAATCACCTGAACTCAGGAGGCAGAGATTGCAGCAAGCTGAGATTGTACCACTCCACTCCAGCCTCCAGTCTGGGCAACAGAGAGAGACTCTGTCTCAAAAAGAAAAAACAACAATTACTGATGTGTCTGGCTCCCATCCATGGAGACTGACGTTAAAACATCAACTTCTGGCCAGGTGTGGTGCCTTACGCCTGTAATCGCAGCACTTTGGGAGGCCGAAGCAGGTGGATCACCTGAGGTTAGGCGTTCAAGAGCAGCCTGGCCAACATGGTGAAACCCTGTCTTTAAAAAAATAAATAAACTTTTTTTGAGAGAGAGAGGGAGTCTTGCTCTGTCACCCACGCTGGAGTACTGTGGCGTGATTACAAGTGCGTGCCACCATGCCTGGGTAATTTTTGTATTTTTAGTAGAGAGAGGGTTTCACTATGTTGGCCAGGTTGGTGTTGAACTCCTGGCCTTAAGTGAGCCTCCTGCCTTGGCATCCCACAGTGCTAGGATTACAGGCATGAGCCACCGAGCCCAGCCTGCGTTTTTTGTTTTTTTTTTAAGTTTCTCAGGTGATTCTGATGTGCAGCCAAGTTTGAAAGTCATCACTCTGGATCCTTGTGCAAAGTGTGAACTGTGGACCGTGTGCATCGCCGGGGCACTTGTTAGAAAAACAGAATTTGCATTTTTTTTTTCTTTTTTTTAGACGGAGTTTCGCTCTTGTTACCCAGGCTGGAGTGCAATGGCTCGATCTCGGCTCACCGCAACCTCTGCCTCCTGGGTTCAGGCAATTCTCCTGCCTCAGCCTCCTGAGTAGCTGGGATTACAGGCACGCGCCACCATGCCCAGCTAATTTTTTGTATTTTTAGTAGAGACGGGGTTTCACCATGTTGACCAGGATGGTCTCGATCTCTTGACCTCGTGATCCACCCGTCTCAGCCTCCCAAAGTGCTGGGATTACAGGCTTGAGCCACCGCGCCCGGCCCAAAATTTGCATCTTAACAAGTTCCCTGATTCCAGGGAAGTCTGAGAAGCACTACTTTGTCCAGGAACCACACTTTGAATAGCAAAGCTCTAGAACAGTAACTCCCAAACGGTAATGCACACGGGGATCACCGGGAAGTCTGTGAAGATGCAGATCCCCAGGCTTCATTCCCGTTGTCTGTGTGTG